TGAAATCATTGCTTCACATATTTGAGTTATTTATTTTTTCTTTAATTATTATAAACAGAAATGGTATTGTACTAATTAATTTATGATATTTATCAATTTGTATTTTTTTAAAAAAATATAAGATTTACACATGTTATTAGGGGTTAAAAAAATATTTTAAAATTATTTATTATTAGTAAGTATTTTTATTTTTAAAATATTTTCCAGCAACACGAACACTCCCTTTGTATCCCATCAAAAACTGATAAAGAAAAGTCATTTCATTAAAAAAATTAAAACTAATTAAAGTAAATCTAATCATGTTATATTTATTTGTAATTGTATATTAATTTCATTTTGAAATCATTGGTTCACATATTTGAATTATTTATTTTTTTCTTTAATTATTAAGAAATGATTTTGTACCAATTTATGACATTTATCCAATTGTATTTTTTAAAAATATAGTGTTTTACCCATTAAATTTTTTTGTTATTATGAATTTAAAATTAAAATAGAAAAAATAAAAAGATGTTAAAATGCACAATATAATAATATAGTTGAACTTTTATATATTTGGTCAAGTATCTATTTTCATAACCTACAAAAGTAAAACTAAAATTTTATATGGTTAATATAATCTTTAATCATGTACATATTTAGATAAATTTATAGCAAAAATTCATATAATTAAGTTGATTTATTCCAAATTGTATTTCATATATATTATAATGCTAAAAATAAAAATAACTAAGAGAATCGTACTTAGAAATCAATAAAAATATAAATTCTATATTTTGTATGAATAAATATAAACTCTAATCGGACGCATATATCCTTATATGATTGTATAATACATTGTATATACAAATATTGTGGCAATTTTTGTTATTAAGAATTTAAAATTGAAAATAGTCAAAAATAAAAAGATGTTAAACTGTACAATATAATAATATAGTTGGACTTTTACATATTTGGTCAAGTATCTATTTTCATAACATACAAAATTTAAATTTTGTATGGTTAAGAATCTCTAATCATTACATATTTAGATAAATTTATAGAAAAAATTCACATAATTAAGTTGATTTATTCCTAATTATATTTCATATATATTATAATTCTAAAAATATGAATAATAACTAACAAAATTATATATACTTAGAAATTAATAAAAAAAATTAAATTTTAAATTTTGTATGAGTAAACTTAAAGTCTAATCAGACGCATTTCCTTATATGATTGTATAACACATTGTATATACACATAATATTTATTAATATGTATATAGGAAAATTATATAATATAATTTCATTAATTATAATTTATATTGATAGATTTTATTGAGCGGTTAGCATTATTATGATTTCTATGTTAGTTTCCTATCATTTAGCTATTCTTTGTGTATATAAAGCATGTAACCTTATTCTCTAAAACACACTGAAATAAACACTATTATATGCACTCATCCATTTATAATTAAAAATTACATTTAGATTTTTTTTAAGTAACATTTAAATTTTGTATTATTATTAGTATAGTGCATAAGTGTATGTATGTATTTTTATCTAGAAAAAAAGTGTATGTATGTATATTTTTTTAAAATTATAAATATTCATGTTTTGTTAATTTTATAATTTCATTTTCTTAATTATATTTCATATTTTATTAATTATAATTTAATAAAATTGCCATAAATATTTCCACAAAAGAAATCTTATATTCATTATTGAAAAGGGGATATAATTTAAAAAGTAAATTATTAATTAGATTACCTAATATAATTATCCTACTAATTCATTCTATGGTTGTATAATTCATATATTTAAAGACTTTTTAAAGCTAAATACCTATTAATTGCCATAATAATAATTAAGATTATTTTTAGTCAAACAATATTCAATAGTAGTAAAAGTATTACTTTGATTTTTTATAAATAAGATATAATATTATTAAACCAAAATAATGTATCCATAGTACAAAAGATTTTATAATGCTAATTTTTATTGCCTAATAGAATTTGTCAATTATTAAACATTATTTATGGTAATTATGCTAAATTTACAACATCAAATAATATCTCAAAATCAACTTAGTACTTAAAAGTGAAATTACTATACAACAATATTTTCCTCAAAATAACAAACAATTAAACTTTATTCCTTCTCAACTTGTTCATCCTGAATTCCTATCCATGTTCACCTGTATAAATAATTTTACACAAAAACATAATGTAGACAAAAATTAGTATAAGCTAAGTAAGTTTCACTTCACCCTGTAAAACAATAGTTTGCATTTTTTATATTTTCAAAACTCATATAATTTCATACTTTTCCAAAATACATTTGGAGTTATATATTTTCTTGAATGGAGAATAAATAGTTATTTATGGAGAAGTAACCAAACTTTTTGAAATTCACTTTGAAACTGGACTAAAACCTATGTGCACACCCTAGAAGATTCCAAGCCAGTGGATAATATATGATCCAAGTAGTTAGGTTTTCTTACCTACTACCACTCAAACAATTTAGAAACTGAATCATAACTTATGTGATACACTCTCATGTGATTCCAAGCCCAATGAGTAATAAATAGTCCAAGTAAACAGTACTCACTCTTACTTGGACACCACACAATATATTATTTTCTCAAATTTTCATTATTTCTCCACAAATAAATACTTTCTCTATAAAAATACAATTTTCTCCAGAATATATAATTTTCTCCAAATACATTTTTCAAAAAGAAAAAAAGAAATACAATTTTCTCCACATGATTTGTCCAAAATATAATTATAGTCAATAATCCAGTATTAATACAATTTCACAATACTACTATGTATACAACACCAAAAATTTCAAGCCAAGTATTTACATAACGCACGAGTTCTACAAATCGAAACTCATTCTCGATATTTCGAGAATCACCACTCACAATATTACCATTTATTGATAAATGTACTTGTGTTCACATGAATAACATATATCATATAATATCACATATAATATCAATACATACAGTACTCGGGGAAAATAATAATTTTGGTGAATATAAAATCTTACCCTCGAAGGCAAACTTTCTATCAACCTTAATAGCATCCTAACCACCTTGATAAGAAACCTGCATGTGAATCAAATAAATCCAATAATAATAATAATAAGCAAAGCATATTATTCATTGATCATCATCATCAATCTCAACAAACTTAGATTTAAACAAAAGAATTTGAAGAGTAGAAACAATTACCTGAAGTAGAGATTAAGTGAATGAGTGTTGCTAGGATTGAAGAAAACGTAAGAATATATTGAAAATCATGAAGAACCAGTAGTGTGGGGAAGATGAATGAATGCCAAAGTCTAAAAATTTGTATTTATAGGTGAAAATAGTAATTCGAAAGGAAAGTCTAAAATAATTTATTTAAAAAATATAGAAAGTAAAATAAGTAATAAGGTAATAAAATTATTATTGTTATTAGTATATATAGATACAATTAAATATTAATTGTATATAATGTCTATATATATATATATATATATATATATATATATATATATATATATCACACAGAATATTTACTATACTTAATTATTTAATTATTCTTTTACTACATAATTTATATATTATTACTATCAATATATACATCTAATATCTAATATATATATAATATCACACGTACATATAAATGACTATATATATAAATTTACTATCAATATATACATCTAATATATATAATATCACACGTATATATAAATGACTATATATATAAATTTTTATATCTATAATTATTATTTCCATAAACAGAATATATATGAATTTACATGAATGACTCTAAGTTTTGGGGGGAAAAATTGGTTTGGAGGATTTTACTTTTATATATATATAGATATAGATATAGATAGATATATAGATTTGGCAATTTTTTTAGTGGGGGCGATTTTTTAATCAAATTTTTTAATTTAAAGGTCTACACATGCTTAATCATGTCCGTACAATTAAAAAATTGAATAGTGTGAATTAAATCACATAACCACACTTAAACACTAATTCTCATGTGAAAAGAACATGTATGTGTATATATATATATCTGTATTATATATTTATTTATTTGTATTTTAATTTTTAATTAAATAATTAATAATATTGACTCTAATTCATATTTAATACCAAATAAATAGACTATAATTTCAGACACTCATTACGATCATTAAGTATTTAATTCTAATTATGATTGATATTCGAATGTTTAAATCAAACATGTCTTTACGCTCTAGTAATATTAAAATTAAATTATAAATATTTTGCGTTGGTTTTATAGTTTAACTATAGGTTAGACCAACATAAATTTACGAGCGAAAATTGTAAAAATTATTTAAGAATGTGATCTTTATAAAATTATGGTGAACAAAATTAATTGCTCTCACTTTTTATGCAGTTATTCATGAATTTATGTTTTATATAAGTTAGAACACTAAGATGGTAATTGAAACTACATTTATAAAAATCGTTTGTACAAAATTAATTAATTCAAACTTCCTTAAAACAATGCATAGCTTATATAAGCCTATAATTTTCTTAAAATGTGGCGAAATTTTCATATCTACGATCAAAACTACATTGCACTAGGTCTATACATACAGAAAAACCAAATACACATATTACTATAGGTCTATACATACAGAAAAGCCAAATACACATATTACTATAGGTTTATATGTACAGAAAAATCAAATACACATATTACTATAGGTCTATACGTACAAAAAAATCAAATACACATATTATTATTGTATAAAGATAACTGTAAAATTATTTTTATGATAATAAAAATTCATAATTACTATATTGTTCGTTAGAAGTACACAAACTACAAATTAAACTCATAATTTTATATATGAGAATATTCTCCATTCACGCAATCACCATTTTAGAACATTATCTATTCTTTTGGGAGTATAAAATAAGGTTAGTTATATTGTGATATTTTGTTTAGTTAATCTAATGTTCAACGGAGCTCCATATTTTGGTGGAACCGGACCGGTCAAATGTGGGCTGCTATCAGTATCCACAAACATCCAACTTCCTATTGTTCCTCCTTTTCACTAGCTTTTGTAACCATTTTGCTTATTCCCAGGTAGCCATGGCTGCAAGTGAAGAGGACTCAAACAAGCTTTCTTCACCCCGCTTCGACCCGGCCCAACCTCTCCTCTCTAAACCGTATCCTGCAATCGACGACCCGATATCCGTCCCCCACCACCCCAGCTCCCCGTCTGACCCAGGAGACCAATCTCAGTTTCTCCAGATCTCCTACAACTACGGCCCACGGAGTATCAAGGACCTGCCTTACCTCATCCTCTTCCTTCTTCTCGTTCTATCCACGTTTGGGTTCGGCATCTACGCTTCCGTCAACCGGAATCCTGACCGTTTCCGGGTCTCTTCCTATGCTTACGATTACACCTCCTTTTCATGCACTCTTCAAGATTCAAGAAACCTCCTTTCTCTAAGCTTGTCTGATTCCGGTGTCTTGGAGAGCTTGATATGGACTCTTGTCGTTACTCTGCTCTTCAGCTTTCCCTTTGTGCTCTTTGTACTTTTCTTGCTCAAGCGTTATACCAAGCAAATCGTTTACTTTTTGCTTCCTTTCTTCATTATTATTCCGGTGGCCTTAAACCTCTACTGGTTCGTTGCCTGCACCGTGAGTTCCACTTGCAGCGATGCATTTCCCTTGGCATATCGGATTTTGGTGCTGGTGTTTGTGTTCTTGATTATTGCAGTGATTGTTTGGATTTTCGTTGTGAATTGGCATCGGATTGAACTCACTGTGACTATAATTGGAGTTGCTTCCAATGCGCTGTCCAGGAATTTGAGGTTGTTTGTGGTGCTCCCGGCACTGACCTTGGGTCTGTTTGTGTATTATGCTCCCATTGTTGTTTTCTTGGTTTTTGCACGGATGAATGGGGAGATTGTCCCCAAGGAAGAGCATGGAAAATACTCTTGTCATTGGAAACAAGACAAATTTGTGCCTGCATACTATGCATTAGCTATTCTCACAATGTTATGGTCTGCTACAACGCTGATAGAAGCTCAAGTTTATGTGATCAGTGGGACAATCGCTCAGTGGTACTTCTCCAAGGATGATACAAGTCCCAAAAAGAGCATGAGAAGCTCCTTGAGGTATACACTCTTCATATTAATTAAACAATTTCCAAAATTTGTAATAAATTTTATGTCTTTATGGAAATGAGTATCCAAGAGCTGCTGCTTGCATGCCTTGATTCTTGCACAAGTTGGCATTTTGTTGTGTTACTTGGGTTTTTTGCTTGGTAGCAGATATAGAATTTGGCAGTTGAACCGTATTTAATTATTGGATGTTTTATTTCTACTGTTGGGATTCATTTGAACAAAAATTGAAGATTCCATATAATGACTGTCGGTTAATTGTTGAAGTTTAGCAGCTTATTTAAGGGTGCTTAATGAAATATATAGGCTGGGGGTGTTCAGTATTTAGATGTAATGAACACTGCAAGACACTATTTCATGAGTATGAAAATAATATGACACTTGTGAAGTGAACTTGGAAAACAAATGGAGGTGAAGGGAGTAGAAGCCTTAAGGAGAAAGGTGCGAACTTCTTTTAATATAGTTTGATGAGTTAAACCTAGAAACTGAATGTCCTGTACGTTGAAGTGTTTTTTTGAGGTGTTTACAGAGACATACCGCTTATCCCGTATCATTCTAATGACTTAAATATTGCAGTTAATGCTTGTGTTTTAACTTTTAACCCCTTTCTCTTTCACAAACATGTCTTGTAATTGAACTGTAATTATCTTTTGAGATCACACACAAAAGGTAGCATCTTTTAAGAGGTGTAGATGTAAACTGATGGCTATTCTGATACCATTTTGCATCTTATTCTGTTGAATTTATTTTTATTGTGTGTATAATGAACAATTGAACATAGCAATTCCGAATATTTTGTACCTGCCCATGATCTTCTGTTGAAAACTCGCAGAAATGCTTTTGGTCCATCTTCAGGCACAATATGTTTTTCTGGGTTGATTGTCTGTGTTGTCCGTATGGTGCGTGCCATGGTAGATAACGCAAGACAAGAGGCACCTGGCATTGTAAACCTTATTCTAAGGTACTGCGTCAATACCCTTCTGTCAGCAGTTGACTTTCTGAACAAGTTCACGATAAACTTTGCCGCTATTACTGGCGAATCATATTGCACATCTGCCCAAATGACATACGAACTTCTTGAACGTAACCTGCTCTCAACAGTCATTGTGGAGATCGTCTCCACACGCATTCTGGCTGGAATTTCTTTTGTCCTTTCAGCAATATATGCAATAGTGGTGAGTCGAGGCAGTCGTGTTGGTTGTTATCTTGTGTTTTCTTTCCCACCCGTCTGCTTGGAACTCTAAACTTGCTGCTTTCTCGCTTTCAGGTTTGCATTATATTGAAAGCTGTGATTCACCTCGGGATGGAGGCATACCTTGTTTCTGCTACGGCATGGCTGCTTTTGATTGTGGTTCTCGGTTTCTTTGTCCTCATTTTGGACAACGTTGTTGATACAGTTTATGTGTGCTATGCAATAGACAGGGATAGGGGAGAGGTGAGTAAGCAGAAGGTCCATGAAGTGTATGTTCACCTCCCAATCAGCAGGAGTATCAGAACACCATTTGCTGCTGCCAGATCTCCTCCTCTTTCTGTATAACCCTCCTTTGAATAGGGGCCTGTGTTGTAACTTTGTAGAATTTTTTGGTCATGATGTATAATTGCCTGCCGGCAAGTGGATGGGTGATACGATCCTTAAACTCTTCTTGTACAACAGAGATTTTTCCCAATAAGAGAATTCCCAGGTGGTCCTGCTCATTTTTTTTATGTCGATGTTGGACCAACTGTTAGTACTTAGTAGTTTTCATGGTACAATAACATTTACGGAGTAGTATATATTTGAATGTAATGGCTGATTTCTCTCACATTTTGCAACTATAATGCACAAATAAAAAAAGAGGAAAAGTTCTGGGTTTCAGATTTCTTCTGGTTTAAGTTTTATGTAAAGATTACATTTTTTTTTTTACAACTTGTACAGAAGAGGACAGAACTGGGCTTCTGCACCTCCACGGATTGAACACGTATCCAAACACGTCAAGCTCGTTTATAAATTATAATCTTAACCGACTTCTCTTCCATCTTGCTTGGAATTTACGTTTTCATTCATATAAAAAGCCCATTTTTTTTTTTTTTCTTTCTGCTGTCCTCAAATCAAGAGATCAAAACGCAGACAGGAAGGAGAAAAAGAAGGAGCCATGTCCAAATCTCTGTACCCACAAGTCTTCGATTCAAACCCAGATTCCAATTCTCCGTTCGTTTCGAACCCAAGCAAAAGCCCCTCTTCGGGTTCTTCTCTATACCCAACTATTGATATGAATGATTTGGCAGAAAATCTGTTTCCAGATAAGGAAGATGAAGCCGCCCAAAGAAAACCAGATTCAGAACATCCCGCTGCTGCTTTTGAATCTTCTGAAGAAGTGATCATCAGAATCCCGGGTTCCATAGTTCATTTGATCGATAAAGACCGGAGCATTGAACTCGCCAGCGGGGAGTTCACCATCGTTCAGCTCAAACAAGACAACAACGTTGTGGCGATTCTTGCCCGTGTCGGGGAAGAAATTCAATGGCCGTTGGCCAAAGACGAGGCTGCGGTGAAGCTCGACGAGTCTCACTACTTCTTCAATCTTCGCACTCCGCCGGAAGCGGACTCCGACGACGAGGGCGAGGGCGAGATCAGAGTGGACTCGTCGGAGAATATGCTGAACTACGGGTTGACGATTGCAGCCAAGGGTCAGGAAGGGCTGCTGAAAGAGCTTGATGGAGTATTGGAAAAGTACAGTGCATTCAGAGTGGAGAAAGTGGTCGCTGAAAGGTGGGGAGTGATGGCGAAGGATGTCTCACCGGCGGAGATGGAGAAGAAAGAAAAGAAAGAGGCGGTGGAGAAGAGCTCCGCCGCGTACTGGACCACCCTAGCTCCCAACGTTGAGGATTACAGTGGCAGCGTCGCAAGAATGATCGCCGCCGGTTCAGGGCATTTGGTGAAGGGGATCTTGTGGTGTGGGGATGTGGCCATTGACAGATTGAATTGGGGGCATGAATTTCTGACTAAGAAAATGGGAAAGGGCGCTACCTCTGAGATTAGTCCTGCGGCCATGAGAAGAATGAAAAGGTATCATCCATCTTTCTGTCTCCTTTTTTTTTAAACCTTAATAAATCTCACTACTGAATCTGCTATGTAATAACTGATACAGAGTGAAGAAGATGACAAAGATGTCAGAAAAGGTGGCAACCGGCATACTTTCCGGCGTGGTAAAGGTGTCTGGATTCTTCACAAGCACAATTGCAAACTCTAAAGCTGGCCAAAAATTCTTCAGCCTCCTTCCTGGGGAAATTATTCTTGCCTCCTTGGATGGCTTTAGTAAGTAAAGAATCAATTTATATATATATATATATATATATATATTTTGTCTTTATCCATTAATTTACTCATTTAGATGTTTGATTGTGATGCTTTAGTCAATTATTGACTGTCTTTTTTAGTTAATTTGTATATGTGAATACACATAAGTATGTCCCCTAGCACCCCCTTTAACATCGTTTATGAACAACCTAAGTCCTAAGGTGGTTGTTTGAATCAGACAAGGTGTGTGATGCTGTTGAAGTGGCGGGAAGGAATGTGATGTCAACAACATCTACTGTGACAACTGGACTTGTTTCACAAAGGTAAAAAAAAATGTGGACTGGCTGAGAATGAATAATGAATAATGATATGATGTTTGTGAGTTTTGTTGAATTTGGAAGTTGGATGTTGGATGGTTGCAGGCATGGAGAGCAAGCGGCGGAGGTGACAAGAGAAGGATTTGACGCGGCAGGGCATGCAATTGGGACAGCCTGGGCTGTGTTTAAGATAAGAAAAGCTCTCAATCCTAAAAGTTCCATTAAACCTACGAGTTTAGTGAAAGCTGCTGCGGCTGAGGCTAAATCTGCTAAATTGAAGGCCAAGACCAAGTGACATAATATTATGTAATTATTGCCTATAAATTTGGCTGTGCTGTTGTGCTCTCAATTACTATATCTTTTGCTACCTATACGGTGACAGTGACACAGTGGTTGAAGTAGTTTGGTTTATTTGTTTTGGACTTTTTGAGTGTGGCTTTTTTGTATGCTCATTTTATGAAATCAACCATGAAGCAATAGAGATGACTTCATTGCAGACAACAGAAAGAAAATTGAGTTTACTGGAAGCAAGAGAGAGATGGGATAGTTTGTTATTCTGAGTTGTTACAACTGAATAAAGGAGGGAAAAATACACTTATAATGACATCTAGAATATTCTATGACTCACTAATCTTAGCTGAAAAGTCTGAGCTAGAGTTTGATTTTTATGCTTTAATAGCTCAAATATATACAATTTTTTGCCTACTTGTGTCCAGTATTACAATATACTCTTGGATCTATTTTAAGAATGGCTTTAAAGTTTTAACTTATTCACCCGTGACCTATCATCACCTATGCATAAACTCTTTGGATTAATTTTATTTCCCAGAGCGTGGATATTAGTGTGTTATACAAAAGATGGAAAAAATTTTGATCTAAATGAAAATGAGCTAATTATAACTTAATAATAAATTGTTGGATAAAGTGTAGAATAAGACACTAAACTTATTGTAGCATTCAAAAAAAGACACTAAACTTATTCTTTCCTGAACCTCAAGGGCCTCCCACACCACGGGCAATTTAGAAGTCTTAACACAGGTCATTATGAGCTTCTTGATGCTTCCGGTAAAGCCCGCTTTGTCTAAAGTGTCGTGGATGAAAGCCCAGGACAGCCGATCATAGGCTTTCTCTAGGTCTAATTTGATAGCCATGTAGCCCGTCTTACCACGCTTCTCTCGCATGGAGTGCAAAACTTCCTAAAAAATTAAGACATTGTCCGAGATCTGGCGCCCCGGGACAAAAGAACTCTGGTGCGGACTGACGATCTTAGGCCATTAGGCGTGAATTGGGCTTAGTATGTAGATTTAGTCCAACACTTCCCCGTAAGCCCAATGTCAATTCAAAGTTCCAAATAAAATAAAACATTATGCGTCGTTACCTTGACTTTATTGCTCAACTTTTTCGTTTAGCTTGTCGCCCAAGAAGAAATCTACTGCAATTATCGGAGACGAGGAAGAGATCGGAAGAAGAAACTGAAATCACACTAGTAATTGAATAGGACTCCTACTGTGATGGCTCGATATGATAGGGCGATCACGGTGTTCTCGCCGGACGGCCATCTCTTCCAAGTGGAGTACGCTCTCGAAGCTGTGCGAAAGGGTAACGCTGCCGTCGGCGTCCGAGGTAACGACACTGTTGTGCTTGGCGTCGAGAAGAAGTCCACCCCCAAACTTCAGGACTCTAGGTAGGTTTTCCATTTGGGTTTGGGATTTTCGGTTTTCTCACATACATTCCTATATATGATTGATCTGTTTGCTAGATCCCGTATTGGCACGCTACTTTTTATCCTGAAAATCCACAAGGTTCCATTTTAATTCTTTTACCAGTAATTGTTGCAGCATTATAATTGTATAAGGGAATTTAGCTATAGGTTTCATTTTTAGCGCATTCTATTTGTAATTATACAATAGGTTCATGAAATGTGTCTTTGGCACGATGTACTTTTTCTAGTGTTTAGCCAGAATTGTAAAATGCAGTCAAGCATGTTGTTGTGATAGAGATGCACATTTATTCAAGGTGTGAAAGTAGCTCTTTTTGAGCTTTATGGCATTCAAGATTGGTATTTCTTTATCTGTCTATGTATCTATAATCTATCTGCTCTCTAGACAGTTAATTGATTCCCTAGATTAAAACACATAGCTCACTTAGCTTGAAATGGTCGCCTACAACTGAGTGAAGGGTTACGGAAACAAGAGGAGAGGAATATGAACAACATTCACTTCTCTAATGAAACTCCGGACCAAGTTTCCTCGTTCACCTTGTTTGGATGTATTTAGCAGGTTGTTTTCCTTGAAATTAGAGTAATTAGTTGGAAAGCTTGGAGATATATTTATTTTTAAATGAATTTTTGTTTTTGTTTTATTCCTGTTAAGAATAGGAAGTGATCAGGAAGATCATAGCTGAGAATCATTTAAAACCAAGTTCCTTTCTCCTCTCATTTGCCTACAATTTCTTTAGGAAAGAATAATCATCACAGAATTTTTACTCTCAGTAATCTAGGACTCTACACGAGTACTGGGTGTTTTATCTGTTATGGAGTATTATTTATATTTTTCTTTTGCATTTTACTATTATCATGGCTTGTGTTCAGAAATATCTGCTGATTCTCTCTGTTACTTATTATTCAGATCAGTAAGAAAGATTGTAAATCTAGATGATCACATTGCATTGGCATGTGCTGGACTCAAAGCAGATGCCCGTGTCCTTGTAAATAGGGCACGCATTGAGTGTCAGAGTCATAGACTCACAGTGGAAGATCCCGTTACGGTTGAGTACATAACTCGTTATATTGCTGGTCTTCAGCAAAAGTACACTCAAAGTGGTGGTGTAAGACCATTTGGGCTGTCAACCTTGATTATTGGTTTCGATCCATACACGGGCGTCCCGTCCCTTTATCAGACAGATCCATCAGGAACTTTTTCAGCATGGAAGGCCAATGCTACTGGGAGAAACTCCAACTCAATCAGGGAGTTCCTTGAGAAGAACTACAAGGAAACCTCTGGTCAAGAAACTGTGAAGCTAGCCATTCGTGCTTTGCTTGAAGTAAGTCTCTGTGTGCAGGCAACTTATTTATTGCTTAATCCTCTTTATTGTTACATAAATATATTCTATGCTTTTGTCCATTAGCAGTACTAATCATACAATAGAGTTACTGCACAGATGACTAGTCCATTTGTTGAACTCTTTTGTCAGCAAGTTATTTTAGTGGAAAGTTAATCATATACATGTGTTATATGTAAGGCCACTTACAGTTCATGTGACTGATATATAATCTGGTGTAAATGGAAAAACATGTTGGTTTTCATTACAACATAAGTTTCAGTTACACATACTGATAAATTTATTCTTTGAGCTGGAATTTTTACTTTGTTTAATTTCATCTGCACCTGAAAGGTTGTTGAGAGTGGTGGAAAGAACATAGAGGTTGCTGTGATGACAAGAGAGCACGGACTGCGGCAACTTGAGGAAGCTGAGATTGATGCCATTGTTGCCGAGATTGAAGCAGAGAAAGCAGCTGCAGAAGCTGCCAAGAAGGCACCTTCAAAGGAAACCTAGTTTCATGATTTGTTCAGTTTACTTGGCAGCAAAATTTCTGTGTAATAGAATTGTGATAGGTCTTTTAAACTTTTCCCAAAATTCTGATTTCATAGCAAATGCTAATGCTTATTCGCGAGATTAAACTTAGAGAATACTATTCTACCTGGGAGCATTTGTTCCATTCAGAAAATAGACACCCATCCGCAAGGATGCATATTTATATCATCCATTATCTAATCAACTGTCATTAAGTCAAACTTATGTCGTTAATTATAGTACCAAAAACATGACTTTTTCCTTCCTTAAACATCAATACATCATACCCACCTACCAAACATTTTCAATGCGAATAAAGTTATAAAATATGGATCTACCCTTATAAGTAAAATTTATACTCCTTCCATGTCAATTATATTGATTTACTTATCAAATATTTATAACTTTATTTTTATATTAATTAATTTGACATAATAACGTTCGCTTATATTGACAGGATATTGTTGGTTTTGTGTCCCCTAAACAACCAAAACATGCATTATGTTGCCGTTTGACAACAATTAATGTTTGAAAATGTAGTTTAATACATCATTGGAGTGAAAAAAGACATCTTACCCTCCCACGTCAAATATTGTCGATCAGATCAACAATTAGCCAAGACTTGACATTTCTGTGTAGTTTGAACTTAGAGAGAATGGATAGAATCTATCAAATTAAACCAGGATAGCATAGCATGTAGTCTTCAGTACAGTATTCATCCTTGCATACATCATACTAATTTATAATATAATTAATACATTAATACATGTTGTTCCGTTGCACTCTACTACGTTTTAACACCTATCATCTTCCAATAACATATGAGATATACACAACAATGTATCTTTAAAACAGCTTGCTATAATTTGTTGACAGATATACTCAGCAGTTTGCCATCTCAACAATTGCCAGCTGGACAATTTATAAGTTAGGGATGATAGTTTGTTATTTCATTTTTGTTGGTTTATATTGTAATTAGAAACATAATATACTGTTTTCAAAAAAAAAAAAAAAAAGAAACATAATATACTGTGAATTAATAATGTTCATCCACTAGCAAATGTGTAAGGTTACGTTGTTATCCATGTTGAAAATTCAGATCATTTCAACGGTAGTCTAAAAAAAAAAAAAAGATAAATTAAAATTTCAATTCGGACAAAAAAGTTGATAGAAATTCACTAATTTTTAATTGTGAATGAAAAATATAATATAGGCAACCTATTATACATACTACATTTGTAATGTGATGTGCTCGGTGCTCCTATAAACACATAAACAATCATGAAATAATTAAACCCTAGAACAAACCCACTAGCTTATTATTAGTATATGCCAAGAGATCGGACAAATAGCAAAGTTTTATATAAAAGTGATGATGGAAACAAGAAAGGCAACAAATTTTTTTTTAATGATTTATTCATAAGTAGGTGCAATGGTGTCCCAAAGGCTTTGGATTTCTGGCAAGTGAAAGGCACCCCTACTGTGTTTCTAGAAGGTTGAGTTAGTGGAAGAAGGTGGAGATAAGGATGTTTTAGTTTTTGTTTATTTTGTACGGATTATTTACATCAATTTTAGACACACTTATATATAACCAACACAAAAATATATGTACATATTATTAATTATTTGTGAAGTTCAATAATTCACATTAAAGTTTAAATGCTGGCATGCCCTGGCTTAACATATGATATTTGATTATGGGGTAATTATTTTTTTGAATGTTACTGACTCTATTACAATCTTGAAGCTTGAACTCACAACTTTTCAAATGGAAGTCCAATCCGGGTACCATTAGACCACATAGTCTTGATAATGAAAGGTAATTATAATTAAGGCAACTCTCAATTTCCACATTATCGCAAACAAAATATTATCAATTATTGTAAAATATAATAACGGTATAAAAGTTTTGTAGAATTTGTGTGTGTGTATCATTATAATTTTAATATGTAGAAGCATTCAGCACTAAAAGAGAAGGGAATTTAAATATTTAATGTGGACATAAAATTGAAAAAGAAAAAAAAAATTAAAGAGTGAGATGACAGTTTGACGTATGACAAGAACGGAAGCTTTGGGTCCCGGAGGTTAAAAAAAAAAAAAAAGGAAGCTTTTATTCACAAATGGGATGGGACGGGGAGAAAGAAAGAGCTGAGCGGTGGTGGGCCCGACTGCGTTTGGGGTTGGGCCGGTCTTGCGGGCCCCGCCGCCGCAACCGAACATATCAGCCCTACCCGCTTGGGCGGCTGCCAACTACCGTCCCTAAACACGGAAGAGTTGGTAACATTTTACATCACTCACGTTACTTTTTCCCAAGTCCTCTCTCTCTCTCTTTTGTTTGTCATTATTATTATTAACATGGAACATTACCTATAATTCCATTACTTATAAGGAAAATATAATATTTTTTATAAAAAAATAATTATTTTACACCAAAATATAAAAGTATTACATTTTTCGTTATAAATATTTTATTCTTAATTTGTACAAAATATTATATTTTTAATATAAGTATTACATTTACATATTGACCTAAATTGACTCAACCAAGCTCACGGACAAGGATTCATGATACAGTCACACATAAGTGTAACCCTTTTAAATTTTGATTTTTATATTTAATAATATTTTTAATATAATTTTTAAATATTTAATTTTTATACACTAAAATAGACTTAATATTATGAAAATTAAATTAAAAATAATTTGTCAAACACCTTATGTTCAATTGACACATTTATAGCTCTCATTGAGGGAATGTCACAATATTAAATTCAGCCTTGTTAACGGAACAAAAGACATAAAAAAAAATGTGACAGATGGAGTACTAGATTAACTAGTAACATAATTTATGTTTTTGGATATACGTACAGTAACATAGTTAATACACCATTGACTGTTAACATTTAAACAACGCCAATATTAATATCTTAATCATTTTATTGAAGCGTGGATAACAGTACAGGCAACAAAGTAAAGAAATGAAATTTAAACTTTTTTCAAAAGGTTGACTTTTATTGCAAATTCCATGAATTGTTCAATTCATCCATGCATCAATCATCAAAAGGGTGCAGTGTTTATTTTTTGATAACGCCTCCACTGAGACTTGAACTTACAACCTTCCAAATGGAAGTCCAACCCGGATATCATTAAACCACATAGTCCTGGTGGTGCAGTGTTTATTTATATGCTAAATTAAAATAAGACTTGTGAAATTTTTTTGGGTGGTTTGCCGCATGACATTACGATCAGATATAATATTTATTTTTTTTATAGGTAATTAATTAAGTAGTTAAGTATAGTGTCTAGTGGAAGTAATAGATGAGAGAGTTTGTTCCAGAAGAATGGGCAGGGCATGCAGCATTATATTTTTGACAAAATAATGAAGGGTCCACATAAGTGGGAATTGAAGAAGCTAAGCTGAGGTTGGTAGATTTGGAAGTTATGGACTTATGGCTATGTAATATATGGAGCCAAACAACAATAATAATTAGTTAATTACTCCTTTGAATTCATATAGATCTACCCCATTGAAGAAATTATTAATTTGCAAGCAGTAGTAGTAGTAATTAACTACCTCTCATCTCCATTCCAAATATCTCTACAAAACAAGTTATACGAGAAAATCTCCAGGATAACATTCTAGACAGTTATTACAATAAGCTTAATTTAAAATATTAGGGTTATTAAACTAATTCGATTGTCCGGCCAATTTAATTGTAATTTCCCCTGGCTCCAATATATATTTATTATTCTATATATAAACATTGGTTCTTTATACTGAAAAACTGTAATACATTAATCTTTTTACTTGATCTTAGACGATTATCTAGAGTTTTAAAACACTTCTCATTTAGCATTTTAAGAATTATAAATTTTATTTTGTAAATAACCATATAAAATAGTTACAATTGTCAATACCTTGTAATTTAGTGGCATGGGTCTCAAATGAAAGGTCATGAGTTAGAGTTTTGGTGGGACGATTTTGACTCTTTGTACTTCTATAGATTGAGAAAGTAGATATGAATAGATACTATATTGTAATATAGTCGGTAGTACTAAAAAATATAAGATAGTTACAATTACTCATAATTCTACCTTCCTTATTTTTTAATTAATTTAATTTGGTTATATCTTAAGAAGTAAGATGAACTAATATTAATCATTTCTTTTGTCCTTGTTATTTTCCACCCATCTACCCCTAGCCTATATAAGTATTTAATAATGGTGTTGGGGGGTAAAAATATCTGGTGGAAGCTTCTATGGTTTCTACCTAACACATTGACAAAAGCAACACAGTTGGGGAGTGATATATGGAGTTTGAAAAGTGATCGACTCCCTTTCGATTTGTGAAGGGCCATGAGGCCATCATCATTTCTTATTGTTTTTTTCTTGCCTTCAAGATTCCTATTCTTCCTTCCTCAATACTTATTTCAATATTTATCATCATTTATTGCATTTATATTTCAATGAAAGATTGAATTTTATTATATCCTATTTTTTTTTTATATAATACCAGTCATTTGTAAGATATCAGTTCTGATTTTATAATATTATATTTTAAAATAAAAATGTAATTTTTTCTGTTATTTATTTGTATAATATCATATCGACAATACAACTATAGTTTGTTGTTGTACCATTCGTATATAGCTGGTAGTAAAAAAAAAAAGGATGCTTGTTGCGTATGTTGGATGTAGAATTGAGAAACAATATTTAGTCATGGGAAACTAGGAGGTGTGTTTGTATTGAAAGGACTTATCTATCCTTAATCAAAAGTTAATTGTTTGATTATTGACTTTGTGTATGGAGCAGCCTAAAATTTTTATACCAGATGTCTCATCTAAAAGATGTGTCTTCAATTCAGCAAGGGGATTAATCTCCGACGGAGGAAACCTTCGGTTCAAAAATAAATAAATTTAGTCATGGGCACTAGCTTGGCTTTCTTTGTGATGATGGAAATTTGGTGTAATGCACATCTCTATCAACTCAAACCACACTTGTATGGGTCATAATATCGTGAGAAGTAGGGTGTATGACCGTATTGGACAAAACCTTCTAGCAGCTTTATATGGAACCAATTCAATAAAATTAACAAAAATTTAATGTTGACCACAACCAATTCTTCGATCAGACTCGTGCTTTGACCTAACTTACTTTTACTTAGAAATCTCTAAGGCTATCGATTTCTTTGAAATCCTGCACACAAAAATCCAAACATGACTTCCTGCTTCAACTAATTTGTTGCCTAGATGTTTATTCTTTAAAAATGACACTTTTTACCCCTGAGTTATATACTTATAGCACTTTTTCCCCCTCAATTATTTAGGTAAGCACATTAGTCCCCTCAATTATTCTAAAAGTGGTGCTTTTTCCCCCTAATATATTAAATTGACATTTATACCCTTAAAGTAAACATTTTATTTATTTTACTACTCCAACAAATTATTGCGTATACGTAGGGATGACCACGGTTCGATTTGAATTGAACCGGATACTAAAGCAGTCGAATTAATAGTTTACGGTTATAATTCAGATCTAGAACCCAATATTTAAATGTTAATTTATTAAAATTATGTATCAAAAAAATTGAATCTTGAACCGTGAACCGGCAGTTCCGGATCTGATTCGCGGTTTTGAACCGTCTTTATTTTAAAATTTTATTTTTTATTTTAAAATAGTCTAAATTCAACAATAAATGTATTTTATTTTTTCAGTTCGGAACATGAACCGTCCGTTCCGGTTCACGATTTTAATAAACTCTAAATATTGAATTTCGATTCTAAATTGTAATTGGAATATTTCGATTTGGTTGCTATAGTGTTTGTTTAGTTTGAACCAAATTATGGTCATAATTTGTTGGAGAAAAAATAAATTAAATATTTAGTTTAAGGGTAAATATGTCCATTTAACATTTCAGGGAGAAAAACAGCCACTTCAATAATTTAGGAGGAAAAAATGTTATAGGTATATAACTCAGAGGGAAAAAGTGTCATTTTCTCTTTATTTTTTAATTATTATATTCTTATTTACAGATGCATCCAATAACTATAGCTGCACCTTTGCAAGGAAATACTGCTTTTCAGAAAAATAGATTTTTTTTGGGGTCATAATTAGAATATAATAGTGTTATTTTCTCTATTTATTTTTATTCACATCTAAGGTAATAAAATTATTATTATTTATTTATTAGCTACCGTGAAATATATTAGTTAATCTATTTCGCCCAACATTTCAAAGAAAAATTGAATCTCTTTATTAATTACATATAAAATTAAAGAACCGGAATCGATCAAATATTGTTACGTTAGAATAAGAATTTTGCATTACTGATTAGAATAATGTATATATAGTAATAATTAATGTGGTGTGTCAACTTATTTTAGTTTCGAGCAGCAAAAAAGTGCGTTGACTCTCACAGACACATATACTTAGTGTTGATTAAATTTGAGAATTATGAAAAAGATAGATAGATTATCTCTGCATTAATTAAGAGATTGACAATTTTTGCAAGTTAATTAATCATGTCGTGCTGATTAATTAACACCAAATGAATTCTTATTATTTTGACAGCGATCCAATTCCAATGTGAAGGCGGCCATATATCATATATACCAATACGCTTTCCCAAGTTTTATGATTATGTAGTAATTATATTTAATTTAATTTAATTTCCAGCGTGCAGCTTGTTATTAGTTATCAATGAAATTAAAAATTGAGGATATATTAATTGTCGGTTTTGATTTGATGTGAAATAATATAGGTCTAATCTGAGCTTAATATGGAGTAAAAATGTAAAATCAATGGAAAGAATATCATTGTAGAAGAAGAAGACTTTTGATTAGCTTGAAGCTCTCAAAACTTAATTAAAAGTGGAATATATTCAATCAAGTTAATTCCCTTTGTTTGACTATAAAGATGATATTTATATTAGATATTTTAGGGGTACAATTACTAGATGATTACAAATGAATTGAAGCAATTACATGTGTCATTTAATTTGCTCTTATGTCTGTCATGATTCATTTTGATACATTTCATTGTATAATTTGCTCAGTGTAACTAACTTAATTTGATGTTATCCAAATCATATAGTTGGACATTCTTAGATGTATATAGTCAATCTATCATGTTGGCTATTTGTATCATATTGTTTTGTTTTAGTTATCATCTTGTTGATAGCATGACTAAATTTCTAAGTCAATTTATCGAGGTAGATATGAGGCTAGGTGATAATTCGCCAACAGTAATTATGAGTAGACACAAAAATTAGTTTTATTCAACAACTCAAATAATAATGTCAAGTGGTTATGGATACGGGTTGGTTAGGTCACGGCTAAAGAAGAGATAATAATGGTTAGGTATGGTAGAAGATGGAATGGTACCACTAAAGACGTACACATGCTAGTTTCTTCACGCATTTTATATTTTATATATATTTTTTTAATGTTGTCGTTGCACCATATATAATAACTTAATTAAATTCGAAACATTTTATTTTAATAAAAATATCACATCATGTCATATTGTGAAATTTTATATATTTTAAAATAATTAATTAAGGGTGCTTTTATTGTAATGGGAAGAGATACTGAGATAGGTTACCCACCTATCTTTCTCTTCTTTTCTTCTCATCCTCTCGCTGCTTATCCATTGCCTCCCCCTCAACCCCCCACACCCACCCCAATTATCTCCCATTTGCAGAAAAGAATCTAAATTTAGGAAATTAATAATTTACAGAAAAGTAACCACCGGAAATTATTAAATAAAAGAAAAAAAAAAAAAAAAAAGAGGCTGGAAAAGTTGAAGACCTTGAAAAAATTCCTTACATCACAGAGCATACTAGATTATCTAGATCTACAGATACTCATTAGCATGGTTGCCTAATTAGATAAGGACGAAAATTGCCAAATTTTAATATTTAATTATAAATGTTAATATGAAATGGTTTGTATTAATTGGCTGTAGATCGGATGGGCGATCCTCGATCATTGAAACTTGAAGAATAATGGAACAAAAATGATGGATGTTGGTTGTTTAATTTAGGTACGATGATAATGTTGTAAAATTACTGCTATTCATTAAAAGTCTGGTCATTTTACAGATGGAGATCGAGAATGATCGGAAAGATCGATTTTAGATTAATACGTACAGCTCTCTTTCTCACTTCTCTCTTGCCATTTCTTGTATCTATCTTATCTTAATAATTGACAATAAAATCAGAAATTAAAGGACCCAAAAAAAAAAAAAAAAGAGTAGTCTGTAGTATATTATCGATCAGTTCATCATCTCCAAGTTTCTGTAGTCCAAAAGGGCGTTGTTTCTTAACCCTAGAAAATCGTAGCCTGCGGCGATACTGGTTATGGCGTTTGCGGTGGCGCTTCCGGTGGCGTAACATCCATTTCCGTTGGTGGTGCAGGTACAGTCTTTACTGTTCTGTATTCCCAAACTGCATGCAAAACATACTACGGTGGTGTTGTCAACGTTGACTAGGCTCCCCGGAGCTGATCCGGCAGTGAACGTTAATGGCGGTTGTTGATTGTTTGGCTGGTAAGGGGGGCTGATTCTGAGCTCCAGGTTTAAGTCCGGGCAGCGTTCACGGCGTACCGGGCTCGTGGAATATTCTTGTTTTACTGTCGTTGTCGTTGGAAGAGAATCTTGAGGGATCATCTTCTTCTTCTCATCGTCGACGTCTTCTTCTTCTTGTGCGGGACCAAAAGAAATGGTTGTCACTTTTTCCTTGGGATCGTCCATGGGGCGGTGAGTAGTCGGATCAATTCCCCGGCTCAGCAGTTTCCTTCTTATGTGGGTATTCCAATAATTCTTTATCTCATTATCCGTTCTTCCCGGTAATCTTCCAGCTATAAGAGACCACCTACATATATATTTAATTTAGATAATTTGTTTGTGTGGATCAGTAGAAAGAAAGAAAGAAAGAAAGAGAGAGAGAGAGAGAGAGAGAGAGAGAGAGATACTTACTTGTTGCCTAGGAGGCTGTGAAGTTTGATAATAAGCTCATCTTCTTCCTCGGTGAAGTTTCCGCGCTTGAGGTCAGGGCGCAAGTAGTTGATCCAGCGGAGGCGGCAGCTCTTGCCGCAGCGGAGGAGTCCGGCGGCCTTGGGGAGGGAGCGCCAGCAACCTTCGCCGTGGGCTCTGATGTAAGCTATAAGCCTTTCGTCTTCTTCTTTAGTCCAAGCGCCCTTGTTGGTGTGAGCTTTCTCACAGCAAGGAGACCTTCCCATAATCGACCACAGACCTAACTACTTTTTTCTTGAATTGAGGTTTCTTTATTTTCTTTCTATTTCTGTGTTTCTTTCGGGGGTTGATTACTGTTAGTAGCTAGTAGACTAGTAGAAATAGAATAGAAGTTGCAATCTTGAATTGGTGTATGTAAATGAGAACATCTATCAAGGCTGGACTTTTCAGGACTTGAAGTGGGGTTTTATAAGCTTTTGACTCTGTACACATACATACATACATCCAGAGAGAGAGAGAGAGAGAGAGAGATGGGGTAGATGGAGGAGTTGGGGGTAGTGGGGCAGTCCTCCTAATTGCTTCTAGATGCGAGTTGGTGAGACAGGTTTGAGTGAGTGGCTGGTGGATTCTTTATTATTTGCTTTAATATTATTATTTGCTTTTTATAATATTATTATTAATTACACACACATATATATAGAGAGATCGAATCATACCCATCATCTAATTTATCTGCTTTCATACATCCATGTTGAGCATCTTTCATACATCTATATTGAGCATATAGTCATTAATGTGCAATCCAACTATCAGCTTAAGCTTTTAGTTGCGATAAAACACATGCTTCAATTTGGTATCAGAAACAACTAAAGGTCATGGGTATAGCCATTAATGTGCAATCCAACTATCTAGTGGCACGGAATCATAATACTTTCGAAGTTAGTAGTACTAAAAATATATATATTATCAAATTAAACAAGATCGAATGTTAATTCTTGTAGAGTTATGTCAACTTAAAAATCTTAATAAGATTATAATTTTATAAGGAAAAAAATAGGAAACAAAAAGAAGAGGTAACCTGGAGGCAGATGCAAAGTAAGGTATAAAATAATTAAGAGTTTAGTAAAGACAAGGTAGGAAGGTGATGAGCGTGAGTGTCATCCCTTTCCCTTCTTCCTTTTATTTAATATAATTTTGTTTCGTATAAACCCTAAACTCTTAACAACTTTTAATTAATAATTTAGCTAACACTCCATCCATCCGTCCATTCATCGACAACCTTCCCAACCATATGGACGACATGTACCAAAACACACACCTCTGCAAACATATTATATACATTATCATCATGCTCTTGTTTGTACTAACATGTGCCATAGCACGTTATCTGATCTACTATACCATACACACCCCCTTGCAATTATTCAACTCATTATATTATCATTAATTATTATCGTTGCCACTCGCCATGTTTCTCTATATGCTTGCACTGCTAGCTAGTGGTTTCTAAGTTGGTCCATTTGTATGATTAATTAAGGTAATTATTAATTTATTATTCAAGTGTTGTTAGTGATGTTTTTGGGTTAAATTTTAGTTGTTTTTTAATTTAAGCAGTTAAATTTATTATTTTCATTTAAAGGAACGTCCGAAGTCGCTACTTGTAAGCGGACTTGAGGTGAAGTTAAGTTTTATTGTTGTAGCTTAATATAAGATTAAAATTAAAGAGGAAAACAAATTATTTGTGTGTTTGGAACAAGCAAGCTAGGGTTTCTAGAAGGCTTGGAAGTTGGGAACAATAATAATATAATAGGATAATAGAAAGCTAGGGAGAGTAAGTAATAGTAGGAAAATGGTTGTGGTTGTATGTGGGCTTTGGTTCACCTTCCACTTCCTTTTTTAATTTTGTAGATTTTTTCCCAACCCAAAGCTATGCCTTGTGATTCAAGTTTAATTATATATGCTATATGAATATTTTATACGAAGAGCTCGAGCAAAATGGTTTTGATAATAATTAAACTTATAATTTTCAGGTATGAAAAACATATTTTACCTTGGCTACTTGATAACTCTTTTCAGAATTTTGTGTTATGATTTCTGAATAAGTGTAATATGACGGGAAATGAGAACGGAAAGAAATGTGTAAAAGGTGCATGCAATGACCATTGGGGAGTAGGGGAGGGGAAGTTGGTTCACTTTATTGTTATTATTGTTCTTGGTGTACTTGTTATCTCCTACCATACCAATTTGTTTTGTTACCCACCACCACAAACCCTCTCTCCTCGATCTTTCTCTCTATATGAAAACAACTTTGATAACAACTTGTGCCGGTATACGATGAATCACCATCCTAAATTTCTGCCCATCTATCAACTTGGTTTTGATGATGTGAGAAAGAGAGAGGCCATCCACTTGTGTAATTTCATGTGTTTATTTTATTGTATGTTAAATGTAGCTTTTACCCTTTCCTTGTAGCAGTGTCACGGTCCAAAAGCAGCAGCAGCACCCTTAGCTTTGATGTTGAGTTATGGCACGGTTTCGGATATTTATTCTCGCACGTACTATACACTATCTCCTTTTTATTCACAAACCAACCTTATCTAAACCCCTTACCCATTTTTCTTATTTCATCATTTATCCACACCCATATCACATACATCCATCCTTATCTCCATTAATTCTCGCTTTTAATATTACAATTTTTATTGCATTTTCTTCTTAAAATCACCCTTTTAACAAATTTATTTATTTGATTGGGATCAATACCATTTACGAATATAAAATATATCAATAGATATCATATATAAGTTCATCATATCTTTTGGGCGTTGAGCTTTTATATCTACTTACTATTAGTGTTCACGTGGATTTAAGTGCTTATGTTGACATGATGATCATATGAGTTGAGGTACTAGTTATTGGTGTTCTCGTTGAAAGGTAAAGTGTAAAAAGAGTTTTACTACATGAACTTTCAAATTTTACTTTCTAATGTGATACTTTTTTCATGTGGGTCTCAATATAAATGTTTATATAAAATTTTGTATGTGGGTTCAGAAGTAAAAAATAAGAGTATACATAGTATTTTTCGTGTAAAAATTATATAGAGATGATGAGGTATCTAAGAGAATGAGTTGATTCAAATTATTTATATATAATTAAAATAGGAAGTAGGGAGGGTAAGGTAGGCAATAAGCTAACTATAACCCTTTTCAAAAAAAAAAAAAAAAAAAAAAAAAAGCTAAAAAATTATAACAGGGAGTTGGGAGGAGTAAGGTGTGAGACAACTCAGTGGGTTGTGGAGGTCATGTGCTTAGGTATAGAGCAGGAGGGTTGTGGGGCAGTCCTAAAAAACCATTACCCACCTACCTCTTTTCCTCTGTTTCTTTCTTTCTTTCTTTCCCATGTGACACTCTTTCCCAACTATACCCCTGTCCCACATTTTCATTTTGCTCCACCACACTAATTTTATCCTCCTTCTCCTACCTATATTATTTATTATAGGAAAATACTATACATTCTTTACTTTCAACTTCTACTCTCACACTTAAAATATTGATATAGACACTTTTATAGATACCCATATAAAGAAATAACTTATCAGAACTCGCCACATCAGGAAGTAAATTTGAAACAATAAAATTTAAAAGTATATATAACAGAACTTTTTATTATATATATGCACAAACACCACAGTCGCTTCTTCAATTCACTCATTTTTAATTTCAACATTATCTCACAGTTATATTAATAACTCGTTTACCAATTGTCTTGAAGAATAATTTCAATTTCAATATTATGAAAAGTAAAATATGGTGTAGATAGGCAATGCATTAATTCAAATCATTCATGCGATAAGGCAGGCCAAATTGTTTGTTGTGCATTAAGTTTATGGGTGGTTGCTTTGGTGGAAAGTTAAAATAGGAATGTGGGCAAATGACACTTTGAAACTTGAAAGGAATAGGAATATTCTCACATTTGAATCTTTGGCTAAAACAGGAAAAAACTAAACTAAAGCAGAACCGGGCGACATTAGTAGCGCGAAACAAGGTATTGTGCAGCTGAATTGTTGGCACATGGCAATGTAGTTAGAATTCCGGCATACATCTGTGCCACCAGTCTATATGAATTATGATTTGTCCCAGCCCCCAGCCCCCAGCCCCAGGTTACATCAAAACATCATCTCATCTGCCCGGATTCCTTAGCCCCTGCGTAAAATTGCAATGGATACGGTACAACACTTTCTTGTGGGACACGCACTGAATAAGGATGCACAGCTTAAGACTCAAACTACAACTAGATATAAAGATGTTAACCGATTCAATTGCTAAAACTTTGGTACACAATGGTCAATGGACAATACAAGCGATTTGATTATATTGAATGTTTAACAAAGTCAAACAGCTAATACTGATAAAATAAGTTAAAATTAATTATAAGCTAATTATATTACCAAACATGGTGTAAATATTGAAAGTTTATCAAAATCAGCTTCCTACCTTCTCATTGGATTGCGAAGCCAAGAGGCCTGAGTTTGTTATTTTGGAAGTTGGGTTCTTTTCTTTAACATTTTGTGGGCCAAAATGGCTACTAATATTGAGGCTATTATAAAATGGACTTGTCAGTTGAAAACTATTGTTGGGGAGTGGGAATATTTGCATATTCATCTTTCAGAAATTAGGCCCAACCCATTTCAATCTCCACCTCACCAAGGGGAAAAAATGTGTAACGCAATTTGATTGGGCCGCACAACGCGTGAGGAGATCCACCGCCACGAAACACAGGCAGATCTGTATTTGATTCTGAAACAAAGCCCGCTCCATCTTTCGGCAAATTAGCCGGGTTTAAATGTTCACAATTTACGTATTAAATGTTAATAATTTATTTTTTAAAAATTTATAATTTGTATACTACGAATACACAATGTAATAAATATATATGTAGTTAATTACCTTTTTTTTTTTTTTTTTGTATTCACAATTCATCTCAAATACTGCAGTCACACAATATTAACAAATTATGATTTGATGTCCTTATTATGTTTTGTTTTAAAAACACAATTTGTATTATAAAAATTTACAATTTCAATATTAAAAAGAGTAAATATCCAAAATGGTCCCTCGACTATAGCTAAATTCTCAAATTGGTCATTGACTTTCAATTTCAACCAATTAAGTCCTTAACTTTGTAATTTTGACACGATTTGGTCCTCCAACTATTTGACCGTTTGTTGACCGTGATCGACAATCTCCAGAAGAACCTTCAGCTCTCGTCGAAGCACGTGGAGGCCTCCAGGATGACGTTGCACTGGTTTGGAAACGCGTCGTCTTCTTCGCTCTAGTACGAACTCAACTACATTCCAAAGGGAGGATGAAGAAAGACGACCGGATTTGATAGATTGCTTTTTGGCAGTGAATTTAAATGTAACACTGCGATCTGGAAATGCAACCAGAACCTTAAAAAATCGCCGATGGACCATGAAATTGCATATATATCATCAAAAATCACAGTCAACAAACGGTCAAATAGACAGAGGACCAAATTGTGTTAAAATTACAAAGTTAAGGACTTAATTGGTTGAAATTGAAAGTCGATGATCAATTTGTGAATTTAGCTATAGTCGAGGGACCATTTTGAGTATTTACTCTATTAAAAATACATAATTTATACATCGTTTAGTAACAAGATACACCTTACAAGGTGAACCCTGGTCCATGGTATAATATTTTTTTTTTTCGATCAAGCATATTCTTTGGCTTTCGGTGAGAGAATATTTAGCAAAAAAAAAAAAAAAAAAAAAAAAAAAAAGAGGAAAAAAAGCAAATAAATAAAGAAATCAGAATTAGGGTTTTCTGAGTTTTTTTATTTTTATTTTTATTTTCTTCTTCCTTGCTTCAGTTATATTCTTCCGTTTATCTCTCTGTGTTTCTCAAAATCCTCCGTTCTGATCACCCAAAGCGATTGTCGGAATTTGATTGTTATTGAGTTTAATCGTTGTGCGTTTTAAAAGATAGTGATTGAGGCTGAGCTTAATTGGGAAAGATCGGATTTTCTTGTCGTGGTAATTTGGGAATTAGGGATTCTTGGATTTTGAGAGATGGTGACAAATTCAACATTGGAGAGTGTCTGATCGCCGAATAATCGGCGAGCTGTTTCGATGTTTTGAGGGTTTTGGATTTTGTATGGAAACTCGCAGCCGGAAGCGGGCGGAGGCCAACTCTTCAGCGCCCTCTTCTTCCTCTGGTCCCACCACCCGCGCTGCCAAGCGAGCTCGTCTTTCCGTCTCATCTACTCCCACATCCACTACTGCCACCGCCACCAATTCCGCCTCGATCCCCACTCGTTCTCGCATCGCAACTCGTTCTCAGGACTCGTTACTATCTTCCACACCCATGGACTCCACCAATGAATCATCCGGTTCCGCCCCCCGCAGCCGCCGTGGTAAGAACCCTAGTCATGCTCCAGATAAGGATAATTCCGATAAAGGAAAGGAGAAAGAGCAAGTTAGGGATAGGGACAGGGACAGGGACAGGGAAGCTGAGAGAAACCTTAGGTTGAATATTGATTCAGGTGGCGGTGATGACGATGACAATGACAGTGAGGGTGGTGTTGGAATGCTGCATCCAAATTTATCTTCGGCAAGCAGTGCACTTCAGGGGTTGCTCAGGAAATTGGGTGCCGGATTGGATGACCTGATCCCCAGTTCAGCAATAGGATCAACCTCATCATCACATCAAAGTGGTCGGCTGAAGAAGATTTTGTCAGGGTTGAGAGCAGATGGTGAGGAAGGAAAGCAAGTTGAGGCTTTGTCTCAGCTCTGTGATATGCTTTCTATTGGAACTGAAGATTCACTCAGCACCTTTTCTGTGGATTCTTTTGTTCCTGTGCTGGTTGGCTTACTTAATCACGAGAGTAATCCAGATATCATGCTACTTGCAGCCCGTGCATTAACCCATCTGGTTGATGTTCTGCCCTCTTCATGTGCTGCTGTTGTGCATTATGGTGCAGTTTCGTACTTTGTTGCTCGCTTGCTCACAATTGAATACATGGACTTGGCTGAACAGGTGAGCTACTTAATATGTCTGTTAAGAAGGATTGGTTGTTCATGCTAACCAACTGTTTTCACTATTACTATCTTAGTATTCATAGCTCAACTGTATTCTCAAATATGAATTATTTATATTATTCTACTTTACTATATTTGGAAACACCTTGCATTAATTGACTTTGTTTGCCTTTTAAATAAAAAATGAACAGTCATTACAAGCTCTAAAGAAGATATCTCAGGAACACCCCACTCCTTGCCTGAGAGCTGGTGCCCTTATGGCCGTGCTTTCCTACCTTGACTTCTTTTCTACTGGAGTTCAGGTAGTTGAATTAACTGCAACTATTTCATATGTAATGGCTCATGTAAAGTGAATTGATTTGACTATTTTTGTTTTCTTCTGTTATGTCTTAAAAAATTTATTAACTTCTTGGTCCACTGCCAGCGAGTTGCATTGTTTACTGCTGCAAATATGTGCAAGAAACTCCCTTCTGATGCAGCTGACTTTGTGATGGAAGCTGTACCGTTGCTGACAAACCTCCTCCAATATCATGACTCAAAGGTGAGCGGATGATCTCTTTGTTTGCAATAATTCTTTCCGGGATATTTTTTATCTTATTTTTCTTTTGCTTGTGTATAGGTCCTAGAACATGCTTCCATCTGCTTGACTCGGATTGCTGAGGCATTTGCATCTTCTCCAGAGAAGTTGGATGAATTATGCAATCATGGACTTGTTAGGGAAGCAGCTGCACTGATTTCCTCAAGCAGTTCTGGTGGCGGTCAGTCCTCACTCAGCACTTCAACATACACAGTAAGTATAACTCTTGGTTAAAGTAATTAATGTGTTTTGATGCTGCATCTTGACTGGATAAGTTTGCAGGGATTGATTCGACTTCTCTCAACATGTGCAAGCGGTTCTGCTATAGGAGCAAAAACTTTGCTGCACCTTGGTATCAGTGGTATTCTCAAAGAAATTCTTTCAGGATCTGGTCTTGTTAGCACAATGTCTGTTTCACCTGCTTTGAGTAGACCACCTGAGCAGGTATACTATGTTTCCTTATACAGTTTGGTTGGAAGGTTTTAAACGTTGGGTTTTGCACTCTATGGGGTATTTGGTTGGAAGGTTTTTAACTTTGGGTTTTGCACAGTACGGAATTTCTAAGCTGTTGTGCTTTACATATTTAATTACTTAGATTTTTTAGTTTACCTGAGATGTCCTCGAATTTCCGATTTCTGTATGCAAATGGTAGTAGACTTAGTTGCATTCTTTACATCTGTTCTCAAGGAAATTACCATACTACTTTTTTTTTTTACCACATTGGCTGAATGTATTCTTAGTTATAAAATTTAATTTATCCCTTGTTTGATTTTAATTTCCAAACAAGGTTTTCCCTTGCTTTAAATTACTTTACTAATGCAATTTTTTTAGTATAATATATCTCCTCCTAAGGCTTCATATATTGGACTTTTAAATGTATTTCCTTCCCTTATCCACAGATTTTTGAGATTGTGAACCTTGCTAATGAGCTACTTCCCCCGTTGCCTCAAGGAACAATCTCTCTTCCAGTCAGCAGTAACTTGTTTATTAAAGGTTCTTTTACAAAGAAATTTTGTGCTGGTGGTTCTAGCAAGCAGGAGGATGTAAATGCTAGTTCTCAGGATATTGCACAGGAGGTTTCAGCCCGTGAAAAACTTCTTAATGAGCAGCCTGAATTTCTGCGTCAATTTGGAATGGATCTTCTTCCAGTTCTAATTCAGGTTAGTGGTTCACTAAGCATTACATTTGTGTATCTATTATAAAGTTGTAAAAATGGGACACATGTTTTTTTTTTTTTTACTTATTTTCTTTAAATTAAGTGTTTGCATGTTGTTTGCCAATCAGATATATGGGTCCAGTGTGAATGGCCCAGTACGTCACAAGTGTCTCTCGGTGATTGGAAAGCTTATGTACTTCAGCACTGCAGATATGATTCAGTCCTTGAATAGTGTTACTAACATATCAAGGTATGAATTTATAATAAGCTTTTTGGAATTGGTTTTGTAAATAAGGTCAAGCTTTTTGGAATTGGTTTTGTAAATAAGGTCAAATTGGCTTTTTAAATATTTCATTTTTCAAGGTATCTATAGCTCATAATTCAATTATTATTTATCCAGTTTCTTGGCTGGAGTGTTAGCTTGGAAAGATCCCCAAGTACTGGTGCCTGCTCTTCAAATTGCAGAAATTTTAATGGAAAAGCTCCCTGGTTTCTTTTCTAAGATGTTTGTGAGAGAGGGTGTTATTCATGCTGTTAATGCACTAATAATAGCTGAGGCTCATGTTACACCTCCTTCACAGCCACCTTCCTGTGAGAAGGACAATGATTGTATAACAGGATCATCACGTTCTAGGCGTTACCGACGTCGTGGTGGTAATTCAAATATTGATATGTGTTCTACTGAAGAACTCAAAAATTCAGTTCCAAATCTGCTCTCGCCTCCAAATTCAGTTGAAGTTCCTAATGTCAATTCCAATATTCGCATGACTGTGAGTGCTTGTGCCAAACGCTTCAAAGAGAAATATTTCCCTTCAGATCTCGAGTCAACTGAGGCTGGTGTGACAGATGACCTTCTACGGCTGAAGAATCTTTGCAATAAGTTGAATGCTGGTATTGATGGACAGATGACTAAATCGAAGGGAAAATCCAAAACTTCTGGTCCTAGGTTTGGTGATATTTCTACCAGTAAAGAAGAAAACCTTGCTGGTCTGATTACTGAGATGCTGGGGGAGCTCAGTAAAGGAGATGGTGTTTCCACTTTTGAGTTTATTGGTAGTGGTGTTGTGACTTCCTTGCTGAACTATTTTACATGCGGGTACTTCTCCAAGGAAAGAATTTCAAATGCTAATCTGTCTAGGCTTCGACAACAAGCAATGAGAAGGTACAGGTCTTTCATTGCTGTTGCCCTTCCTCCTGGTGTTGAAGGAATTTCTGTTCCCATGGGTATTTTGGTTCAAAAGCTTCAAAATGCTCTATCTTCCTTGGAGCGCTTCCCTGTTGTGTTGAGCCACACTTCTAGGTCATTGAGTGGAAGTGCACGACTATCTTCTGGCTTAGGTGCTTTGGCTCAACCATTCAAGTTGCGTCTCTGTAGGGCACAAGGTGAAAAGACCCTTCGTGATTATTCCTCAAATGTAGTTTTGATTGATCCACTAGCAAGTTTAGCAGCTGTTGAAGACTTCCTCTGGCCTCGTATCCAACGAATTGAGTCTGGTCCGAAGGCACCTGCATCAGCTGGAAACTCTGAGGCATGGTCTGTTCTACCAGCATCTTCTACTACTCCTTCTGTTCCTCCTCGTCATTCTACCAGATCAAGGTCTGTTACTAATATGAATGATGGTGCTAAAGAGTCATCACAAGAAAACAATGCAAGCTCATCAAAAGGAAAGGGTAAGGCTGTTCTTAAGTCAGGTCAAGAAGAGGGAAGAGGACCACAGACAAGAAATGCTGCTCGTAGAAGAGCAGCTTTGGATAAGGAAGCACAGGCACAACCTGTTAATGGGGATTCCAATTCTGAGGTATGTCCAATCATGTAATCTGATACGTTAATCTTCTTATGTGTAGTTGGCTGTTGAGTTTAATTGTATCATGTTTAATCATATCCTTAATGTTTTTGTTCATTAATGTGCTTTGACCTTCCCACCGTCTCTTTTCCAATTTTGGTCTTAATTATATCATGTCTAAAATGCATTGTCTATGTTTGGCTTCTTCTTCTTTTTATTATTATTATTATTATTATTATTATTATTATTATTATTATTATTATTATTATTTTTAAATTTTTTTGGTCTCATGCTGTAAGGTATTTTTCCCCTAAACAATTTTGATGATTTTCTAGTGCTTTTAACAATTATCTATTTCCATTTATCCATCCCTTTGTATTGGCTATAGTTGGTGACTTAAGGTATACATTTTGAAATGGGTTGCAGACTTTCTTGTCATTCATATTTTTGTCCTCATCAAGTGCTTAGTGTGGTGTACAACAGGGATAGAGAAATTTCATTCTTTTTTTGGTGCAGGAAGATGAGCTGGTTTCTCCTGTTGACATTATTGATGATTTGGTGATTGAAGAAGATGATATATCTGATGATGATGATGAAGATGACCGTGATGATGTATGTTTTTGGTCTTCATACTCCCTCCGTCCCAAATTGGTTGTCTCATTTGCTTTTTGCACGCTTTTTAAGGAATTAAAGTAAATGCTATGTATTTTCCAATTATGCCCTTCACTTTTTCACTTTTGAAAATAAAAGCAAAAGTCATAAGGGTAATTTGGGAAAAAGTAGAATGATGGTGATGTTCAATTTTGGAAAGAGAACAACATTTTGGGACAAACTAAAAAGGAAAGTAAGACATACAAAATGGGACAGAGGGAGTATTTTTTTTTTTTTTTTTGTCTCTTCAATTTCTCCAGTCTGATGCCTTATTCTTGGGCATTATTCTATATATTTGTAAAATGAAATGTTTATATTTTGCATGTTTGTGTCGCATAGCTATTAGTTGAATAATAATTGATAGAGTTGTTGATTAGTTCTTTCCTAAATTTGGTGAGTCAATGAAGAGGTTTTAAACCGGACCATTAATCTCATTAAAACGAAGTTGGTCATATATTCATTTGTGGGAACACGTTAATCATATTATAATATAGAATCACAAGAAATGGGCGTGTGGTACAGTTTTGAAGAGGAATCCATTTTAGAGGACATTCTTGCAGGTTCAGAACTTCTTTCATTAATGGGCAGGAGATGATGCAGGTGGCTTCAGAACTTCTTTCATTTGTAGTTAATGTGTTTCTTTTGAATCTGAAACTTAAAACATAGCCTTTTCAATGGAATGGAACAGTGGCTGAGACAATGAATATTTGCACACTAGGGACAAGAAGACCACACCCCTTACCCCAAATAAAAAGAATTGATAACAGCGATGGAAAAGTAATCATAAACATCTTTGATGTCTATTTTATTCTTGTTGATTGCATGTCATGCCATTTTTTTGTTGATTGCTACAAAGTTAATCTCACCTTTAGATGCAAAATATTTGTATAATGGCATGATGCTGATAGTTATGTTTAAACTTGCAGGTTCTTAGAGATGATCCACTTGATTCACTTCCTTATTGCATGCCAGAAAAAGTGCATGATGTTAAATTAGGGGACTCTTCAGAGGAGAGTCCAGTTGTCCACACGCCAAGTAATAGTCAAGCAAATGCTGGTGGTGGTTCCAGCAGCAGAGATGGTTCTATCCGGGGATCTGACTCTCTTGAGTTTAGAGGTGGGAGTTCTTATAGTTCTAGGGGTGCAATGTCATTTGCTGCAGCTGCTATGGCAGGCCTTGGGTCTAGTAATGGTAGAGGTGTTAGAGGAAGTAGGGATCGTCAAGGACGGCCTATATTTACTTCTAACGATACAGGAAGATTGATATTTTCTGCCGGTGGGAAACAATTAAATAGGCACTTAACAATCTACCAGGCCATTCAACGTCAGCTTGTCCTGGATGATGATGATGATGATAGACATGGAGGCAATGATTTTGTATCAAGTGATGGAAGCAGACTGTGGTCTGATATATACACCATCACGTACCAAAGGGCAGATAACCAAGCTGATAGAGGTATGAATGGTACTGGGACATCAACTTCCTCTAAGTCTAGGAAAGCTAGTTCTTCAACAGCTTTGAGTGAGGATTCCTCACTCCATGCATCACTATTAGATAGTATTTTTCAGGGAGAGCTCCCCTGTGATCTGGAAAAAAGCAACCCTACCTATAATATTTTAGCACTTTTACGTGTACTTGATATTTTGAATCAGCTTGCACCACGGTTACAGTTTCTGTCAGTGATTGAAGATTTCTCCGAAGGAAAAATATCAAGTCTAGATGAACTCAGCGTGAGTAGTGTCAAAATCCCTCCTGAAGAATTTGTCAATAGTAAGCTTACTCCGAAGTTGGCTCGACAGATCCAGGATGCACTTGCACTCTGTAGTGGCTCTCTTCCATCATGGTGTTACCAGCTAACCAAGGCTTGTCCATTTCTATTTCCATTTGAGACTCGCCGCCAGTATTTCTATTCAACTGCTTTTGGGTTGTCTCGAGCATTATATAGACTTCAGCAGCAAGGTGCTGATGGGTCGGCGAATGAAAGAGAGGTAAGGTTTGGGAGATTACAGCGCCAGAAAGTGCGTGTCTCCCGGAATCGCATACTGGATTCTGCTGCAAAAGTAATGGACATGTACTCTAGCCAAAAAGCTGTTCTTGAAGTTGAATATTTTGGTGAAGTTGGCACTGGTTTGGGTCCTACTCTGGAGTTCTACACCCTTTTAAGTCATGATCTACAGAAAGCAGGGCTAGGGATGTGGAGGACAGGTCTAACATTCCACAAACATGGAATGGAAATGGATGTAGATGGGCACGTAAATGGAAAAACTGTTGATGGGGGTGAACAAGATCTCATTATAGCACCTCTTGGGTTATTCCCATGTCCCTGGCCACCGAGTGCTGAAAATTCAGAGGGTCAGCCTCTTTATAAGGTAATTGAATATTTCCGGCTTATGGGTCGCGTGATGGCTAAAGCACTTCAGGATGGGCGGCTCTTAGACCTTCCATTATCAACTGCCTTCTATAAGCTTGTGCTTGGCCAAGTATGCTCTGATCTATGCCTCCATTTTGTTTTTTGTTTCACTTGTGCATATTAGCTACATGTTAACATTCAGACTTTGCAGTCGCATTATGTCACTCATATTGTTTGGGGTATGTTTGTTCTTGTAATGTTGACCTGTTGCTGTATTTCACTGCAGGAACTTGATCTGTATGATATTCTTTCTTTTGATACTGAACTGGGCAAGAATTTACAAGAGTTACAAGCTCTTGTTTTTCGGAAACAGCATTTGGAATCAATGGGGAATAATAGCCAAGTCAAAATTACTGATTTGTGTTTTCGTGGGACTCCAGTTGAAGACCTTTGCTTAGATTTCACCCTTCCAGGTTATCCTGAATATATTCTGAAACCTGGGGACGAGAATGTATGCTTCTCTTGAACATTCCTGTTTATTTGTATCTTTTCTTCTCTCATTATGTAATGTTTGCTGGTGTAATTTTTTTTTTTCTTTTATTTATATTGCAGGTTGATCTTAGTAATCTGGAAGAGTACATTTCTTTGGTGGTTGATGCTACTATCAAGACTGGAATTGTGCGGCAAATCGAAGCATTTAGATCTGGTTTCAATCAGGTATGGGTGGTTATTGACGTATTGAAGATGTTGAACGGATTTGGAATTAAAGTTCCCATTCTTGTAAATTCCTAGTCAGGCAATATGGTTTTACTGTCCTGTTATTAGGGAATTATATGGGGCATTTGAACTTGTTGCTCCTGGTTCTGTTGCTGTTGCACTAGCCACTAGGTGACTTTGTTCTTGGCTACGGATAATTTTCCACCCTTAGCCTTATATGAGTATTCCAAACACGAAGTCTTGTAATAGCATTGCCTATTAATCCCTCCTTTTCTTAAATTTATTGATCCTTCCAGATTCCAGAGCAATTGTGATATCATGTGTCCATGTACCTGTTCACAAATCTGAACTAAATTGATGTTACAAATGATAATAATCTGTGTGTTTCTGTATTTGATGCATGTTAGTTTTGTCAATTCCAAATTGATTTTTGCCTTTTTTGATGACCAGGTATTTGACATTTCAACACTACAAATATTTTCTCCAACTGAGTTGGACTATTTGCTTTGTGGGCGTAGAGAGCTGTGGAAGGTAAATAACCTTTATTGTGATGCTTAATGGATATCTTTCTTTTGAGCGATTTACCTACAAGATTCCTTGTATGTGCAGGCTGAGACATTGGTGGATCACATCAAGTTTGATCATGGTTACAATGCCAAGAGTCCTGCAATTATAAATGTATGTTCTTGTTATTGTTCATCTGGAAGGTTTTAGGAGAAATAAAATGGAAATTTATATTTTAATCGTCATCTAACCTTTTTTTTTCTATTTTCCCCTGAATTTGATGTGTGTGCGAAGTTGCTGGAGATCATGGGAGACTTCTCTCCTGAACAACAAAGAGCCTTTCTTCAATTTGTTACTGGTGCGCCTAAGCTTCCTCCAGGTGGTCTTGCAGTGTTGAATCCGAAGTTAACAATCGTGAGGAAGGTATATTCCTGCTTCATATTTCAATATGATCTTCAACATGGGTTTTTCTCTTTTTTAAGTGTTTGATTGGTTATGAAACAGCATTCTTCATCCACGGGAAACACATCAGTCAGTGGTAATGTGGCATCCGAATCTGCAGATGATGACCTGCCTAGTGTGATGACTTGTGCCAATTACTTGAAGCTTCCTCCATACTCCACCAAGGTATTAGTTTGGTTTTATTATTATATTGGGATGGGATCAACAAATACATTAGCTAGCTGCATACCATAAAACTATGCACCACTAGATGAAATGTTTCCAGTTGCGTTATCCTACACTTAAAATCTGTTCAATTTTTTTTTTTTTAAACCAGGAAATCATGTACAAGAAATTACTGTATGCGATCAATGAAGGTCAAGGATCCTTTGATTTGTCCTAGGATCTTAAAAAGGTAGTTGGAGTGATTGAGATAATTGAGCCTTGTGCATTTAGTGCTCAATAAATGGTGTGCTGGTCATCACCGTCTATCAGCAATCTTGAAGGTTGGTATCTGTGTAGTAGTAGTGTATAGTATAGGTGGAATCTGCCGTCCTACCAATTTTCTTTGCTGCTCTTCCTTAGCTAGCTAGCTAGCTCCAGATTGTCATTTTGTTTTTGGTTCTGTATTTTTTCATTGGAATGAGGAATGTAATTTGTTGCTCTTTATTTATTAATTGGATTCAATCCTGTTTAACTAATAAAGTCAATTTTGACATGAATTTCAGGTGAAGGTGGTTGAAGGGCAGTTTTTTTTTTTTTTTTTTTTTTTTTTTTTTTTTTTTTGGCTGGAGGCACTTTGGGGGTGCAAGTGCGGTTGTACATACCGTAGAATGATTTATATTTACTATAATATTTTGGGATGATAGGAGATATAGATGTATGAGGATTATGATGATGATGGTGTCGTTTATCGTTTTGTTTAATTTTATGATGATCTAATAAAGGGAATCTTGAAAAGCAATTTTATCAAGTATGGAAATGATGATCAACTTCATTCATCTTATCAAATAGTAAATGATTATTATAAATTCATATATTTTTTTTCCTGCACAAATTAAAGGAAAGAAGGCAATTAAGTCAAGAAAGAAATTATAATATTTAGGTTATTTGAAGCAATAAGTTGAACAAACAGATGTTATTCGGGAGAAGCGTACGTACACACTCGGAGTTGGGTCATATAACTCTTAACCTACAAATAAAACTTTCAAGTGATTCACCTTAGCTTGTTGATTTGGAAAACCTAACAGTGTTCAATGTAATTTCACTAGGTTAGTCTCAATTAGAAAATCAAGTGACTATACACCTCTTTCAATTCGGCATATATATCAACAAATAGGATAGGTGCTTTGAGTTGAGCCACCTTGAATGAGGATGTTGATGTGTAGAAGGGTGACTATTAGGATTTAGGAATTGAAGAACGAACGTGCTTTAGTAACAAGAATATGTAATATACGAAATTAAGTTAAGCGGGCAATACATATAGTATTACAAAGATAGTAAGATTGATAATCTAAAGCGAGTAAAACATTATTAAGAATTCATGTGTTTTTAACTTATGCAATATAATTCTCATGCATCAACATAATCCTAGGATAGGATATGATTGGAACAATCAAAAACGCAAAATCAAAACAATAGGAATCTAAGGAATATTGTCGTTGTGATGACAGTGTAATTGAGGTTTATTATTATTGTTTTTTTTTTTTTTTTTTCAAACTAACGTATTTAGCTAACAAGCTAGCCTAAGATTATATGATGAGTTAGCTATAATTAGTTAACTTCCAATTTTATTTTATATTTTAAACACCACCATGCAAGTCAAAGATTTAAATAACAATTTTTTAGTTTTCAAATCTCTACACATCATATTATTGACATATGATAAATTCAATCAAGACTATTTTAAACATCTTATTGACATTTTTTTTTTTTTAGCATAATGTGTTAATAAAAAAAATGTGTAGAGAAATTGTACGTGTACATTTTTAGGATCAAATAAATTAGAAATCGTTGGTATGAAATTATAAATATTTGAACAAGTAAGCAATAAGCCTGTAACATTAACATTATACATGATATGTTTAATTGCTTGAATATATATAATTGCCAATTAAAGAGTACAATCTATATATGTTAAAAAAATAAAAAAAAATTCAAAGCCGCTGGATCTACATCACTACTAGCTTAGCTCAATTTTATTTATTAATTAGTTATTTATTTATTTAAAAACAAAACAAAACAAAACAATCTATTTAGTCCTTGGTGTGTGGCTTAATTAGGAGTGGAATTGTAGGTAGGGTCTAGTCGTCCTTGGCGTGACGTAGTCCGCATTTAGCTTGCACAGCCAAAGTCTTGTGGACTAGGTTGGGGCAGAGATCCTTGCTTCCCTCCTGGAACAAACTCTTTTCTACCGGAACTTTGCACTGGCTCTTCCCCAAGCAAGCCTTCTCCACGATTTTATTCGCGTTCGGAAAGCTGCAGTTACCCACAATGAAGTTCCCACAAGCCCCGTCCGGATCCCCGTAGTTTGCAAACTCTATTTTCTTCACCACTTTGTCTTCTGGGCATTTCAGCCTCACACTCGGTCTTATATCCTCTACCACCTGCCGCAACTCCTCCCCCTTCCTTTCCCACGACTTCACGTTCCCTGGATAGTAATCCGATACCGAACTGCAGATTGTGTCTCTGTTCACCAGCACCAATTCTATGCTACTGGGGTCTCCCCCTTGTTCCTCAAACACCACCATCAGATTGTTTTTGGGTTTCATGAACGCCCTGGGAATGTGATACTCCCCTTGCGATGGCTGTCCCAGTGGGGAAAGGAACGCCACCCAGTACCGCCCGATGCTTTTCCCGTTCACCCAAACCATACCCTTTGCCATGTTGTCCATTCTGAGTGCTACAGGGTTGTTCCCTTCCGGAGCATCAAAGTATGTTTTGTACCAGGTGACGGGTGGGTGGACATTAGTCACCGGTTTCCACTTCACTTTCTGGGACCCTTCTTCCGTGAATAATTTGAGCTTCTCGCCTGACACGCCAACGGAGTGGCTCCAGGAGTTGAAGGTGACAACCAAGGTTCCAGCCATCAATCCCTGGATGGTCACGTCTCTGGGTCCCGTAAACCTCTTATCCATGAGGGCTCCGCTGTTGGGAAACCCGGTTAAGACGCCGAGGAGTGTAATGTCATTATTTCCGGGCTTAAGGTCCACAGGCTTCCTCAACGACAAAGCCTTGTCGTCGTTGTTCCCGTGTTTGGAGCCGACGAACTCCCCGTTGACAAATGCAACAAGGGCGTGGCCCATACTGTAGACGTCGAGAACTGGAAGGATGTCGCCCCTGGTGGAGAGATCGCGTTCGCTAAATTCGATCCTTGTACTGTACCATGCATAATCCGAGGTGTCTTTGGTCAAGGTGTAGAGCTCCAATGGTCTGAGGTTTTTGATGGGGAGGTTATCTATAGTGGGAATGGTTTCTTGGAACATCTCCCATTTAAGATCATCTCTACCCGCAAGCTTGGAAGGTACGAAGCGTCTGGCGTTGTGCTGTGAAACAATGTTCTGGGAATTGAAAACCGCGGTCTTGCAGTCGGGGAGAACGGAGGTGGAGAAGCCGGGGAGGTAGTATTGTGTGCCCCTGAATTTAATGGAGGTAGGGGTGGTGTTGTTGTTGGTCAAGAAAGCGGCGCAGAGTTTAAGGTTTTGATTCTCGAAAGTAATGATTTCCTGATTATTTGGGAGCTTCTGTATAGTTGGGGTTCCCAAAAACAAAGGCCTCTTGGACAATCTGAGAGCCGCGTGGCAATCTCTTAGGTGACTCCACTTGGGGTCTCTGTACAACCCAAATTCATCAAGCGGGCCTTCATCGTAGTAACGAGTGGTGACGAAGGAGGCAGTGGTTCTACCATAATTGGTTCCGCCATAGTACATGTAATAGCCTAGGTAACTGCCGTTCTTGTTGGCGGCGAAACGAATGATAGAATACGCAATATTTTCAGCTGATCTCTGGGCGGGAGGGTCTCCGAAAGTTCGGTACTGAGCCGTCCAGTTTTCAGTCCACATACTAGGCTTGTTGACGCCGTTAGGGCCGTGGAAAGTGTCGCCGCATTGTCTGCCATTGCAGGTGTCAATCACTTTGGGGGGAGCTTCGTTTTGCTTGCACATGATCCATGGAATTTCGTTGTACAGACCCATCGCCATATCTGCGGCCCAGTTTATATATTTTTTTTGAATTTTTATGTCTGCTGGACGATCAGACTCGATGCTGCTGTACTCGTTTTCAATCTGAGCCAGAATGATGGGGCCTCCTTGGGGTGCGAATAATTTCGCCTTTTTCATCATATCTACAATCATCTCCGCAAACTTTTTCATGTGATTCTGCAATTCATTTATATATATATATTTCAATTATATTCTATCTAATTTTTACATACATATATTTCAATTTCAATACTAACTAGCTAGCTACTACCATAAATGGCTCGTTGTAGGTACGAAAGGCGATCTTAGGTACTTCCTTTAACCAGTACGGGAATCCTCTGCGGGCATACCATATATAAGTTAACATTTACACATATATATATATATATATATATACTCCGATATGATCATAAAATATATGCATGCATGCGTACTATACCCAAAGTTCCATTCAGCCTCAAGGAAGGGTCCAACCCTGAGTGTGACGTACATACCCATGTCCCCAATCATCTTGATGAATTTCACCAAGTCATTGTTGCCTTCGAAGTTGAACTGCAAACGCCCACAAGTAAATATATATATATACATACACATATATACATACAACATACTTACTTGGCCTTGAACAGGTTCATGAATGTTCCAGAACACATATGTCTGGATCACATTCAAACCTCCCTCTTTAGCTCTTTTGAGGACGTCCGGCCACATCTGCCAAATTACATTTAATAATCTCACTAATATAATTGCAAACATATATATTGAATATTGAATAATATAATAGACCCCGCCTCGCGCACATATATACATACGAACATACCTCAGGAGGCATACGGGGATAGTGAATGGAGCCTGCGAATAAGATATCTCTGGTTCCATCAATAAAAAAAGATCTACTATCATACGTCACCGTCTTGCCATTGTTACCCACCACCATGCTCGCAACTAACATCCATAGCAGCCCCACCATAAGAACACACCTCGCCCTACCCATTCCAATGCTTTACTGTTTTTTTTTTTTTTTTTTTTTTTTTTTTTTTTTTTTTTAATATAATTATTATATATTCCTTCCTTAATTGTTTTTTTTTTTTCTTTTATTACAAATCAATTATAATTTTGATTTGATATCTCTATCAAAATCAATACATAGTCATAGCATACACTTATTATATCTTTGATATATGTAGAGATCGAAGAGAACTAACAACTCCTAGGATAGGTTGTCTGATCTGAACTTGAGGGTCGGATCACCATTTCTTGTTTTCGTGGCTGTGCTGTGTGTTGTTGAACATTTCTCTGAGTAAACTTCGTAGGAATAGGAATACGGTTATACAGCCTAATATAAGGAAGGACTTTATAATTAATAACTAGTATTAATTAATTAGGGGTAGATTATCTTATTATTTTAATCTTTTAATCAACGCGGGCCGGATTAGCCTAGTACTAGCTACTACTTAGCACTAAATTATTATTATTATATATTATGATGAAAATGAAAATATGAGACTACCTAGATCATCAATGCACATGGAGTATGCATATTCTCTCCATGTGCATCCATATTCTATCCACAATTTTCTATAAATATATAATTGTCTCTCTATCTCACTTTTTTCTTTTCTTTTCTTTTATTGGACATCAAGTATTCAAGTCTATGTTTCATTAATTTGTATGATACACACACACACACACATATATATATATATATATATATATAGACAAAAACATTATTATATTATAATTTAAAACATGTATGTTATTGGTAATGACTTTTAGTAGTACATAATTATATTGAATCGGTACACTCATCATGTTAATATATACATAATAGTAATGAATGTAAAAAATATCAATGCTTATAAATATGCTAAACTTTATCATGTCTTTTATTATATATATTGTTTATTGGAGAAAATTATAATTGAAATGGAGTGAGATTGTAGTGCGGGTAAAAGTAAATATGGTTAGGAGAGTTGGTTAATGGATGCATGAGGGTGATGTCGTAGATTTGGGAATCCAAAGTAAGTTAGGAGGAGGGTAGCATTATGGTACAACTGCCCACTGTCTTACTAGATAGCTTAGGTAACAAACAAACAAACAAATACTACAAAAGACACACACACACAGTCATATATATATATATATATATATATATATATATATATATATATATATATATATATATATATATATATATATATGAATTGAATCCAAGGGCAAGTGTTAGCTTAATTATATTAGGTAGTAGTCCTTAAAACAATCATGAAGGCAACTACTAACTTGAATTGTATATACACTCGCTAATATTTCTTTTCCTTTTTCCATTGGATGCTTCATTATAACGTTAATGTTTTGGGCCATTATTTTCTTGTCCCACAAAAATAAAGCGCAACAAACCTTAATATATGCATGCATATAAACTTATCATTCTTTTTTATTGAACTCTAATGCATCCCATCACACAAATTATTGTTACTCCCTCTTTTTAAAATTCAATTCACTAAAACAAATTTTACTATAAAAAATTGTCACCATGTTCTAGTAGAATCACATATATACAAACATGCTTATGTTCAAATGAGAACCATTCCGTAAGTGTAAATTGCGAACATATACATAAATGCACACAAGTGCACAATGCATACAATCTACCCCTAGAGTAGATTGTGTGCATTCATGTCGGCTCGGTTCTCACCTAAGACACACACACACACATGTTATATTTTAAAGAAAATCTTAACGCCATTTGTAAATTAGAAATGTATATTTTGAACACACGGATAGCTAGGAAAATATATATTTTTTTATTACGATTATAATACACATAATAACGAGAATATATTTAAATGTAGTGTTACAAGTTCAATTCTTAAAAGCTAAGAATCATAAAGAAAAAAAAAACATAGTATTCATATTTATATAGATGCATATGAGCCATTAAGCCTTACTTTTTATGATTGCGATTTTAGTCTTTCTTTGCTTTACCATTAAGGTATATAAAATTGATTTCCAATCATTATCACATATACCATATCATATTGTAATCTTCTTCATCATGTGGGCTCACCACAAATTAAATAACTTAACGATTTTAGGAAATCTTTTTAAAAATATTTAAATTAAAAACAAACTGTACTGCTGCCTTCCTAGCTACTTAATTAGGTGTTGTTTTGAAATTTAAATTAATTAAACAATTATTATTTTAATGATGTGATTACCTACGTTCAATCAGCAGACTGCATGCATGACTGACTGAAAATGATCAAACTCCTAACTCCAAATATTGAAATCACATTACAATTAAGCTCACAAGTTGATTTTCAAAAAAAAAAAAAAAAAAGCTCACAAGTTGGATGTTTGCACTTTAATTCCCATATATTTTTTTTTTATAATTGGAGAATTAAATTTGATTGATATATTAAGGCTCATAATTAGATCAATGTTGTAATGTACTCATCTGAGAATGTGGACGGAATAAATTAAACCACGCTCCTATGTAGCATTCAGCAAATCACATAAAAAAAAAAAAGTAAATCATTATTTGAAAATTAAATAAAAGTGTCATTTTTATAATTTGTGGGGGTGTCTGCTGCGGTGGAATCATCTATTTCAGTTTAATTAATTTTAAACATGTATTATATTAAAATGGAAGAAGAAAAAAAAAATCATTACAGTTGATCTACCCGAAATGGCATTAGTTGAATTGAATGGTATATATACCATATAGAAATATGAAGGTCAACACATTCTTAATTTAATGTGTAAATATATTATTTTGGGAAAATGGCACTTTTTTCCCCTGAGTTATATACTTATAGCCCTTTTTCCCCCTCAATTATTTAGGTAAGCACATTAGCCCCCTCAATTATTATAAAAGTGGTGGTTTTTTTCCCCTGATGTATTAAATTGACATTTCTACCCTTAAAGTAAACATTTTATTTATTTTACTTCTCCAACAAATTATCGCGTATACGTAGGGATGACCACGGTTCGGATCAAACTGAACCGAACACTATAGCAATTGAATTAAAAGTTTCCGGTTATGATTCAGATCTAGAACCTAATATTTGGATTTCAATTTATTAAAATTATGAATCAAAAAAATTGGATCTTGAACCGTGAATCGGCGGTTCTGGATCCGGTTCGCGATTTTGAACCGTCTTTATTTTAAAATTTTATTTTTTATTTTAAATATTCTAAATTCAAAAATAAATGAATTTTATTTTTCAGTTCGGAACATGAACCGTCCATTCCGGTTCGCGATTTTAATAAACTCTAAATATCGAGTTTCGATTCTAAATTGTAATTGGAATATTTCGGTTTGGTTGCTATAGTGTTTGTTTGGTTTGAACCAAATTATGGTCATAATTTGTTGGAGAAGGAAAATAAATGAAATATTTATTTTAAAGATAAATATGTCTATTTAACGTTTCAGGGGGAAAAACAGCCACTTGAATAATTCAGGGGGAAAAAGTGCTATAAGTATATAACTTAGGGGGAAGAAGTGTCATTTTCCCTATTATTTTTCTCTAGTCGTTGGAGATGGAGATGCCATACATCTCTTTCAAATACATGATATTTATCAATTCAAATTTATCTCTAATATAAATAATATAGGGTAATAATAATGGTTGCATGTATTGGACGTATTATACCACGTACTATTAACTCATACAATCTTTTAACTTCATCAAATTTTATTGTGGACCATGGTTTATGTAATAGCGTGAACTATGAAGTATGTATCATTTTAATTATACATCAGTTTCTTTTGACAATATTTTTATGTCTTTTAGTATCATTTTCCCACTATATTAGTTTCGTCATAGCAATACTAAAGTACATACTAAGTATCATTTTAATTCTACTATAGTTTCATTTGATAATATACATTATTGCTTGAATTTTTTATTTGTATTTTTGATTTCATTTTCCACACATACTAGTTTAATTATAGCAATATTAGTTCAAGAATTATTTTAATTGTACTTCACGTCATTTGACAATAAATATTATTGTATGGCTCTGGATTTTAGTTTCATTTTCCACGCACACTAGTTTCATTACCAATACTAAATTATAATTTTAATTATACTACAATTTTATTTAACAATAATGTACTCTTTTTTTTTAGTTTTATTTTTCACACATAAGTTTCATTATAGTAACACTAAAGTATCATTTTAATTTTACTAAAGTTTCATTCGACAATCATGATTCACATAATGATATATGAACTATGATCCACTGCATAACAATTGATATTAAGGGCCCTTATTTTTATTTTACCCTGGGCCTATATAATGATAGGACCTGTTATCTAGCAAATACTTGGCAATTTATATCCTACACCACGGCGCGGTTGCACTATGCGCCCAGATGCAAAACGTCGTTTTAATTATTATTTTTGTTTTTGAAATTTCCCGCCCCAATGAATGGCAGTAGTTTTTTCTTTAAAAAAAAAAACCAGCTGTTCAAGAATGTACATAATGTTATACTAGAATATACATAATGTTATACACGAATGTACATAATTATATAACAAAATATACATACTTTTTTTAAAAGATAATACACATAATCTAACATAATACATAATAAACATAAACTTTTAACATAATACACATCAACTCTTAACATAATATACACAAATTTTCTGATTCGGATGTACATAATTGTATAAAAAGAATGTACATAATTGTATAAAAAATACACATAACTGTATGAACCAATACACATAACGTTGTGAACAAATACACATAATATCAGCAACTTCCTACCGCGCCTCCCAACACTACCCAAAACGACGTCGTTTTGGGAGGCGCGCGACGCACAGTGCTATGTGCGCCGTGGTGTAGGATATAACGATTGCTCATATATTACTATTTACTACTATGTAATATTTTTAAATTAAATTAAATTATTTGACAAAAAGTAATAATTTATTTGGACTAACTTGGATGTAACTAGAATATATTTGAATAAAGATATCCAGAGAGGCAGAGATATAGAGACATAAGTACAAAATAATTAATTTTTCACTTGAGTAATTGATGCGGTTTTTCTCTTCATAAAAAAAAAAAAAATCCGGGAAAAAATTTACTGGAAAGTGTATAGAAGCAAGGCACGTGGTGGGCGATGATAGGGTGATAATAGTGGCATCTCTAAGTAGTTGAGCTGGCTCGAAGCTGGCTCGCCACTCACGCCTTCTTGACTCAGATTTTTACTACTCATTTTTATTTACTAATTTATTTATTTGTTATACTCTCAATTCTCAAACTCATCATCCTCTCCATAAAGGTGCGTCTCTGACTCTCTCTCTCTCTCTCTCTCTCTGAGTGTGTGACAATGAATGTGGCTGTTGAGTTAGGTGTTGTGTGATTATCATATGCAATTAGGGTTTAATAATGCTCCATTTTTGTGTGTTGTATTTCGCAAATTTAAATACTTTACGTATTTCCTTTACCTGTTTATGTTTAGTTTCTCTGTCTGCTAGTTGTTAAATACTAGCACTAGTACTCCTCTTCTATTAACAATCGTCAATCGCCAGGGTGTTAGAGTTGGTATAGAGAGAGAAAGGGGTAGAGAGAAGAAGCTGGTCTCCAGAAAGCAGGAGAAGAAGAAGAAGAAACAAGCCAAGTGGAGGGGCTGCCTGAGAAGTTGGACTCTTTGGCTCTGCCAGAATGAGCGCCTCTCGGTTCATAAAGTGCGTCACCGTCGGCGACGGAGCTGTCGGTAAAACTTGCCTCCTCATCTCCTACACCAGCAACACTTTTCCCACTGTAAGTTTCCTTTAATGTTGCCCGGATATTTCTGGATAATGAGCTGACAGATGATATCTTTGCTTGAATTTGAGAAGAAAACAAAAGGGGGGGACATTTTGGGTTAAAATTCCGATTAGTTATTTATCCCTTTTGTTTACGTACAAGGGTTCCGTCTTCCTAGGCTTTTTTAAAATAATCCACGAAGCAGCTCAATTTTACTTGACTTAGGTCAATCTAGTCATCTCCTATGAAAAGGATTATCTTCAATCGCCGGTTCTTGATTTTGGGCAAACAGCGGAAGATTGTGATAGGAAAAAAATGGGATTTCAATTCAGTGTTTGATTTGAATAACCACACAAGCTCGGGGTCCTCTGCCTTAGAGTTTTAATGTCAGTGCTAGTAATTGATTGTGCTGCTCCATATGTTTATTGTAGTGTACAGTCTCCTGAGAAATGAATGTATACAGACCAATCCTCTCTTTGCCACGACAACTACGTTTCTCTTGGAGCTTAAGATGATCGTGATGGTGTATAATGGATTATCATCACATATCTTTATGTTTCATTTCATGAATTAGACTAAGCAAATGGAGGGTTTCTACTAAAGGTGCCTGCTTTTGGTAGGGATTGAAGTTGTGGAAAAGCAGTGTGGATGAATTCTTCTCCCTTTATAACTAGACTAGAAACATGACTGTATATGGTAGGAGGCATCATATGCTTCCAGGACTACTTAAATTTAATTTCTTTTCTTAACTATATTTAGTGTCTTATTAAAGGACCTGAACTTTGGTCCCTGGGACATTTAAGGACCAGAAGTTTTGTTTTTGTCAGTTTAGTATCTGGAAAATGATTTCAATATAAATTATTGTTAGAGGACGTTGATGCAACATTTTAATATCACATGTCATTGGTGAGTTGGATTTACATATCCTACTAATTACCTGATTCAGCATCCTGACTATAAGCAATTAGCCCAAAAAGCAAATACTCCGTATAATTTTTTTCTTGCATATGACTCACAAAAGTAACAATTAAGATGCTATTTTTCACAGAAGATTTGTAAGCGTTAGCATTCAATAAAGATGGAGGAAAAAACACACCTTTTTAGTTTAGCCAGAGGAAATTTGAAAAGTAATAATAATAATAAAAATAAAATTGGGGGTGGGGATGCAAAATTTGAACTAGGGAACTCAAAAGAACTCCTAGATAATCATCCTTTACAATGTGTATTGCGTTTTTATTTTGTTTTCTTGTTTTCCAATTTAAATTAAAGATTTTAGCCTATTCGCTTTGTTTTAAAATTTATTTAACTAAATATTAAAATATTGTGACGCTTCGCATACCATGAATCTAGTCAACTTTTTTGATGATGACTAGGCATCAAAATTTAACTCTTAATTATCGGTCCTTAAACATCCCATATGAGAGTTAAGACCATACATTGGGTTTAGGGTCATAGTCTACATCTTTCAACAATATTTTTCTTGTCTTAAATCTTTCTTCTGTGTCATGAACAGGACTATGTCCCAACCGTTTTTGACAACTTCAGTGCCAATGTGGTTGTGGATGGGAATACTGTTAATCTAGGGCTGTGGGATACTGCAGGTTAGTGGTTCCACCTTGATGTTAACTTGCATCTTATTTGCATCACTTTATAATGTGGGTTTAACATTCACAACTGAACAGGACAAGAGGATTACAATAGATTGAGACCTTTGAGCTATCGTGGAGCAGATGTCTTTATTCTGGCATTTTCGCTCATTAGCAAGGCCAGCTATGAAAATGTATCCAAAAAGGTGTGTTTAGTCACCAATCTGTTGTCATTGTTTCTGCTGCCCAGTGCCCATACACAAGGCACATAACTGTAATAAGCTGTTATATCAATCAATTAATTGACCACTTAGTTATTTCTTTCTTGAATCAAAGATACTTTAATGATTTTATTTGGGAAAAAAATAAATAAATAAAACAAAGATGACATCACGAAAAAGACAATAACTGAGATGTATGTATGTAGCTATTGGGTTAATGTACAATAACATATTTTTCTTCCTTCTTATTGAACTTCAGTGGATTCCTGAATTGAGGCATTACGCACCAGGAGTGCCAATTATTCTTGTTGGAACAAAGCTAGGTTAGTTTATCCTATTTCGCTTTTCTCTTGTTAGTGCTATTTTAACAACCATTCTTGATGCCTTAGCTGATAGGCTAATATCAACTATAAATATTTCTGCTAGATTAATGAAATATCCATTCTGAACAAAGTAATTTTTGTTTGTAAAACAATCTTTGATTATGGAAATATAATAAAAATCAGAAACACATGAACACTGTTGCTATAGAAACTTCTGAGAGAACTGCTTGCTTGAGTATCCATGCAAGATGCTTAACTAAGATCTCTCTTGTTGGACTAAACAAACTTAAAGTAAACAAAGATCTGTAGTTTTTAAGCATATATTCCATTCAATGTATTTTGTAAACATTAACTTAAAATAGGTACTATATAGTATATACCTGTTCTAATGTTAAAATCATATGCACATACTCAAAGCATAGCATCTTTGCAATCATTGTTAGGATGACTAGCTATTACATCATATATTTCCCCGCCTTCACATGTAGAAGCCTATAAAATAAGTATTCTTCTTCACAATTCTTATTTGCCTTATTGCCCCCAAAATATGACACTTTCACATTTGTGTTTGTGAACTTCATTTCAATCTATCTATTTTGATAGTTAGACTTGTATTCATTCATCAAAGGATAATTCCACTCTTGCTCTGATACTGCTTCTATTGAAAGTTACCTCATTTATTTATTTATTTTAAATTTTATTCTGGTGCTGAGCTCTTAGTGACTGATGATTGTGCTTGTGTTAGATCTCCGAGAGGATAAGCAGTTTTTCTTAGATCACCCTGGAGCAATACCTATTACCATGGCTCAGGTATGCTACAAGCATCCATGCCTTGTTTGTGCAGTACTTCATATGCGAAGTATCTATTTATGTATCTAGTCCCCCCCGCCCCCCTTGAGCTACCATGATTTACATCCTCCCAAATGCTCTGTCGGGTCGGGGTGTGGGGGGCCCTTAGGGTTGGGGTTCAGCCTTTTGGAAGAATGTATCTAGTCCCCCCAAGTGTTAAGGTTTGAGATTTGTTTCTTACTTTCCTCTGAAGGGCGAGGAGCTGAAAAAGTTGATTGGCGCCGCTGCTTACATTGAATGTAGTGCAAAAACACAGCAGGTTTCTTCTCTTTTCAAAAGATAATTGTGTGGCCTCTGTGTGCGTGTGTTTTTTTTTTTTTAAACCTCTTCATTGACAATCTCTATCTGCAAAAATGTTTCTGAAAAAATGCAGAATGTGAAGGGTGTTTTTGATGCGGCTATTAAAGTGGTTCTTCAGCCACCAAAGCAAAAGAAGAAAAAGAAGAGAAAGGGTCAGAAAGGGTGCAGTATTTTGTAAGTGATAAGAGATATATGTATGGTGAGGAAGGGAAAGATGGGCATATATATTTGGGTGGTTTAATCTGATTTCCGCGTTTCCTTCCACCTCCCTCCAATGTGCTGCAAGTGATTTACGGGTTTGTAGTCTTGACTGACTATACTAGGAAAACATCAGCTTGTTGGTTTGTGTAGGTCGGTCCGGGTTGGTTGTTGTATATTTGTGATATTTCCAGATATGTTTGAAGTAGTAATGTGCTCAACTCATCTGTTTGTCCCCTAAATCTGTATTAAGCGAGCCACATGTATAAGACAATGTAATGTTTGCAACTTTGTATGTCTCTTACATTCACATCTTTAATTTAATGTAGTACCGCTATCCCTATAAACTACGAGTATTTTAGTGCTCATGTGGCTTTATGCTGTTAGTTTTAGCTTCAACTATGTTTTATGACGATGCATAGGTGTACCAAAGAAAATGATATGGCACAAGTAAAACTGATTGATATCGAATACACTGTTTCTTCATGATTAAGTTTGTGTATAATTAGATCTAAGATTTTGATATTTTTGTTAGTCAAAATAGTTGTTGATCCATAAACAGAAAATGAGCACATAAAGCAGTCATTCAGTTGACTGTAAAGACCAATAAAATGGAGCTGCGTTATCCATTAGTGACCACTGACCACGTCCAAGTAAGTCCACAGATTACAAACAAACTTAGCTTTATCCCTGTTCACTTTTAAAGGTGGTTCATACATCCACATCATTCAATTTAAAAAATATTTCACTATTTTCTCTACATTTATGTAATATTTTCACTTTAAAAAACGATCACACATTCACATCACAATTATAAATGCATATATTTTTTTAATAAATAAATACATATAATAATAATAATAAAATATTGTTTAAAAAAAACAATAATATATATATATATATATATATATATATATATATATATATATATATATATATATATATATATTTAAAAACATCTGATGCCGACATTTATCAACCACCTGTGAATTCTTCAACAATATAAATAGGGTGCATTGTCTTTCTTTAGAAACCATTCATTAGTCCTTACAATCCTCTTTGGTCAAATGGTATGGGTTCTTAACCTTCAACTTATGCACCCGGGTTCGCTTCCTAGCAACATTATTATTTCTAGATTTTGGACTGGAACAATAATACTACTATTTTTCTACCCGTTCTATACTTTCATACCTGTTTATAGTGGACCCGACAAAACTATCCGTCTTAAATGTCTACCCTACCATCGCTAACCATAGAAATTTGTATTATTACTTCCACAAAGGTTCTAGGGACGGAGTTTTGTGGACTTAGGATTATTCCAATGAAATTGAAATCACTAATAAAGTTTTTTTTTTTAAACTGTATTATTAAATTACAATAATAAATCTTTGATATTAGATTGCTTGGGAGTGAGAGGTCGAAGGTTAGAACCCCAATGGGGTAGATGTATTGACTCTTTGTGTTTCAAATATATTAGAAAAAAGTATATATAGATAAATAATATATTGTAATAGGGTTAGTAGTATTAAAAAAGTTAATATTACATAATGAATAATTAATATTTAATGTTGTAATAAAATAAATTACTTTTAAGAGTTATTTTTTAACAATTGTAATTATTTTATTTTTTATATTTGATTATTATGTGAATTATTATTTTTTAACTTTGGACGAGATTGAGTAATAAATGAATATACCAGGACTATGTGGTCTAATGGTACCCAGGTTGGACTTCCATTTGGAAGATTATGAGTTCAAGCCTCAGTGGAGGCATTATTGGTTCAGTAGGTTGAGAAAGTATACTACAATGTAATAGAGCCAGTAACTTTCAAAAAAAGAGTAATAAATGAATATAAATTTTGTTTTACTCCGTATAATTTGGGAAAATAGCAATTTAATCTTAACAAATATAAGACAAAAGTACTCCAAAATTTTTGGCCGACTACAAGAATGACCAATCATTCTTTCAAAAGGATGAACCCCAACTTTAAGGGTCCTCACACCTCAATCCAACAGAGAATTTGTGATGATATAAATCATGGTAATTCAACTGAACATGAACTAAAGAGGCTAGACCTTTGCTCTTGCGCACAAGGAACCCCTTCACTTTGAAAGGTTGCTCACACACACAAGAATGACCAATCATTCTTCCATAGATCGTGGTTTACATATTTATGTGAATCATATATAAAAAATACATTTTAATATACTAAAAATACATTATTTGAAAGTACATGATTTTTTATATATTATTAAATAATGTACATTCTGTACATAAATAATATATTTTTAATATAATAAAAATATATATTGCATTTATGGTCCACACAATTATGTGGACCATGGTTCTGACAATAATTGGCCAAGAACGACATCCATACTCCTTCAGTGAGTACAGCGAATTTGCCTATTATCTGTTACCATCTGCTATTAGCAATCCGTCAAAGTATTTTACTATTCCTATACTCAATTTTCTAGGTTTTCTTTCTGTTCCCACAAATCAAATTCTCTTCTCTCGCTGATCAGTGGTCCGCAGGGCGTTATTCCATCTCGAATTCTTTCAATTGTAAGTGCACTCTTCTTCGCTTCTTTCTTTTGAGAATTTACCTTCTAAATTGCGTTTTCTTTCTTCGGTTTATATTGCTTTGTTGCACGGCGAAAAGCTCTGATTTTTGGCATTTGTCCTTACTAGGATTTCCTTGTTTCTGTGATGTGCTGAGTGATTCTTTTCAATTATATTTGAGCGTTAAGCTTCTTTTTTTTTTTTTTTTTTTTTTTTTTTTAATAATTTTTATAGCATTTGTAGTCTATATTTTTTTAGGGTTCATTGTCTTTCTGAAACAAGGAGCTGAAAGTTCTGTTTTTTATTGGATGGCATAATAGAATGTCTATAGTGCTTGGCTTAATTGGAAGCGGTCTTGCTTTGAATTCGGGTTACAAGTTTCTTGCTTTCTTTTTAGGAATTTCGTTACTCTAATCTAATGGATGATGGGGAGCTTGAATTTTCTAACCAAGAGATGTTATCGAGTCCTCCGTGTATTGGTGAATTTCCGGACACTAGCTCAATGGGGAGCTTTTGGAACGATATTCTGAGTGATACCCATGCTTGCACTCATACCCACACTTGCAACCCACCTGGCCCTGATAACTCTCATACACACACTTGTTACCATGTTCACACCAAAATAGTACCTGCTCCAAGTGAGGATAAGGCACCCAGTGATGATACTGCAGAATCTGCAGACAAGATAGCGAAGAAACGACCTTCAGGCAATCGGGAAGCAGTCCGCAAGTACCGGGAAAAGAAGAAGGCTAGGGCTGCTTCATTAGAGGATGAAGTTGTCAGACTGAGGACTATTAATCAGCAACTGCTGAAGAGACTCCAGGGCCAGGCAGTGCTGGAAGCTGAGATTGCCAGGCTAAAGTGTTTGCTTGTGGATATTAGAGGAAGGATTGAAGGTGAAATTGGATCATTTCCATACCAAAAGCCTGTGAAGAGTGGTGATTTATATCCGAATCTTGCTAACCCTACCTTGCCAGGGGCATATATTATGAACCCCTGCAATATGCACTGTAACGATCAAGTTTATTGCCTCCACCATGGTTCAGAAGGTAAAAGCTCAGAGGGCGCAACATTGAACAACCAAGGCACCAGTAATTGTGAATTTGAGAGTCTGCAATGTTTTGGCAATCAGACTTCTGGTCTGAAGGAGCTTCCTGGGTGCGGAGTGGGCAGCAATATGTCTACTCGTAATGCCAAGAAAAAAGGTATTTTTTCTTATTTTTCCTTATAGCAAACACATTTCTTGGTCTGCATAAAAATTTCCCATTTAACAAAAAAGCTTTTGCTTTTGGGGGCTTCTATTAATATCAGTTCTCAACAGTTATTTTATTATTTACTCCGTATATTTTTGGAAAATGTGTTTGATACCTTGGAAGTTGGAACATTCCCCTCCCCTGTAATCTTAACCAGTTAACCCTTCCCTTATCCTCCCTCTAAGAAGGGGCTAGAGAAAGGAAGAAAGTGGAATGGACCTTAGACTGAGTTTTTTGATGACTTTGCTATGTTAAGGGTAAATGAGTGTTTATATGAATTGATATGATGTTTGTTAAAATAACAAACTATTAGAAGGGATACTCAACTTCCTGACCATTTTGCTGAATCAGTTTCATATTGACATGAAAAAAGATTGGATTGCTGCCAAATCCAACTAGATTGGGATTAAGGCTTAATTGAATTGAGCTGTGAATTATTTTAAAAACTTAGAAGTAACCATCATTATGCATTACTGATATTATTTTCTGTAATCTCAGTGGTGGCACAAGCATCAGAAAGTAGTTGAAGAATTAGAGCAGAGTCAAGTGTGGCCTTCCTCTCCCATCTTGAATCCATCCATAGATCAGTCAATGGATGTCATTGCTTCCAGAGAAGCCTGGGTTATTGGAGCTAGCAAGCATGGTGCATGGAGTGGATCAAACAGTTTTTCGGCCATTTACTCTTAAATCTTATGTTATGGCGATTCTTTTATGGATTCTGTTTCTTCTTATTGACTTGGAAAAATGTGTATTCTTTCCCAATTGATGAGATTTTCGGTCAGTGAATTATTATTGTCTTTATTATATAACTAGTTTTTTTAGGGAATAATGCTCAATGATTATTTTTAAATAAGTACTTCAAAATATATCAATATAATATTATATAAGAGATGTTCATGCATAAGTAAATAAATATTAAATTCGTTTATTTAAATCAGTAATTTAAAGTATACAAGTGGAAGATAATATATGAGAGATTGATTATAAATATCACTAAAATAAATGTTTGTAATTTTGTAATAACGCTAGTCTAAATATTTAGTCTAAAAGCGACAGTCTAAATAAATACTACTTTCTGTTAAATTTTTATAATTCTTCTTAATTCTCTTTTTGGTAGTATTGTCATTGTCTTCATCTGTAGTACGTGTCTTTTTGTGTGTGTGTGTGTGTGTGTGTGTGTAGGGAGCTTTAGATTTGCCTTGTTGTGTATATGACTGGATCTTAGTTGTACTATGAACTTTTTATCTAACAAGCACATGTTGATATTTGGTAGTGGTAGTATTTTCTCTACATGTTTCATTCTTCCAAAAAAGCTGAACCCCAACCCTAAGGGCCCCCCACACCCCGACCCGACAGAGCATTTGGGAGCCCTACATGTTTCATGTATTGTGAAATGTGTGTGGTAGATTATCATGTGAAAGTATTGAACAAAATATTAATATTTATTATATTTGTATAAAATACTTGGTAAATAGATATATATAACATATTTTGTATTATAACTTTGATATTTAATTACAAGATAATGTCTTTTCAAAAAAAAAAATTACAAAATGATAATGTAAAAAGAAGACAATAGACAATGTAGTGAATATAATAAATTAATAAATTTGAAGGTAAGGAATTTTGAATTATTGTAGAAAATAAAGATAATATAAATAATGAAATTATATCTTTTTGAAATTTTTTTATAATGAATAATTTTTTTTTTTTAAAATGAAGGCATTATAGACTTCTAATTCTAAATTAATTAAATGCATATGTATATTTTTTTTGTTGTATGTAGCTACTACTTTATTTAATTTAATAAGAGTTATAAAGTGGCGTTTTACATACTTTTCATCAACAATAATAAAATTATTGATTTTTTTTTAATTTATATTCGTTGTTGAGACAAATTGTTTTGAAAGTTTGTCAATGACAATTGTTACAATTCCTGTCAATAGAGGATGATAATAAATAATTCAAAAGAGAAAATTTCAATTTTGGTCCATTGACTATTGAGGTTGTGTTAATTGCAACACTTAACTTTCAAAAATGTTAATTTAGTACTTTGACTATGCAATTTCTATCAATTTTGGTCACGCCGGCCAAATCTTACCGGAAAAATTTAATAGGTTAAATAATGAGGGTATTTTAGTCTTTTACTCACCACCCATTTCTTCTCCGATGAACTCCTCTTCATTTTCGGCAACGAAAAACCTTGATTTAAAAACTCCATTTCCGGCAACGAAGCAGTATTTTTGCAGCATTTGCGGCGTTTATTTCCAGAGCCATCGTTCACTGGGCTCCCATAGCGGCCATCACAGTAAAACATCTCGAAAAATGCATGCTCCCCAGTAAAGTCGATGAATCATCTTCTTCTTCTTCTTCGTCTGATGATGTTCACGACAATGAAGATTATGACGTTAACGAAGAAGGGGCAGAATCGGAAGCGGAGAAGAGGATGGCGTTCAAGTGCCCTTACAATTGCGAAAGGGTTTTCCAGAGTAAGAAGGCGCTGGGTGGGCACAAGCGACATTGCAAAAACAGGGCCGCTGCCGCTGCAGGACTCGCCGGAGGTCATGGCTGGGAAGTTGCGGCCGCAGATGAGGACAGAAATGGTGGTGGCGACAATACAATTAATTGATTTGAATGAAGTCCCAGATTCAGATGATGAATATAATGCTGTAGAATATAGGTGAAGATCGATCAAAAATACTAATTTAATTAAGTTGTTTTCCTGCCGGCGTTAATACTTCTGCAACTTCTGAAGCTCCATCTGTTGTTTGATTGAATATAATCTTCTCCCAAGATTGAATATAATCTATATATATGGAAGTGAGCTTCAGGAATATAATTATTGTTTCAACCTCTCTTTATACTATGTGTTGAGTTTTTAAATCAAGGTTGTTCGCCGCCGGAAATGGAGTTTTTAAATCAAGGTTTTTCGTTGCCGGAAATGGAGAGGAGTTCATCGGAGAAGAAAGGGGTGGTGAGTAAAAGACTAAAATACCCTCATTATTTGACCTATTAAATTTTTCCGGTAAGATTTAGTCGATAATTTGGCCGGCGTGACTAAAATTGATAAAAATTGCATAGTCAAAGTACTAAATTAACATTTTTGAAAGTTACGTGTTGCAATTAACACAATCCCAATAGTCAGTGGACCAAAATTGAAATTTTCTCTAATTCAAAATATATAATTAGAATAGATACTGTTATAATGATATAGTAAAAATCAACTTACAAATTTCTTTAGAAGTTTTCATGCATTGATAAAATTTTGATGTGTAAACTTGTTCAAAAGGAGCTAGTGGGATGTCAACATTGTCAATTCGTTAGAAAATGGTCCTACCGTTTTAGAGTCCAGGTGTAATTGTATTTATGATCAACAACTTTGTAGTTAGGTCACGCAGGTCTAACAATGATGTAAGAACAATTTTGTCCGATAAAAAAAATAATAGTATAATATTTGTAAAGTAATGTACAATTGTACCATTATAAAAAAATACATTGAATGCATAAAAATCAAATGATTTTTAAAGTTCTTGATTTATAATCTTTGATGCTTTACTTTGAATGTTATGTGTTTAGTCGTACTAATTATTTGAACAAACTTTATGTTAAATTTTATATATATATATTTTTTAAATATATTTTAACATATTCATAGTATATCTTTAACAATTATGCCAACTCTAATTGGGGTGGGATTCAAACCTAAGACCTTTCTTTAATGACCTTTCTTATAGAAATTAATGAGTAAGTTAAAAATAATAAATAGTTAACGAGATATTCCATTACTAAAGTTTATACTAACGGAATTTAGGTTATTTAAGGGAAGAAAATAATATAATAGAGGGTAAATAAGGAAAATTATTTAAAAAATACTAAAATAAAATTAATATGAACCATTCATTTTAAGAAACAATACTAGGACATTTCTTTTGTTCCAGTTAAGGGCCTAACATTATTGATTCTTATTAGAATTGTAGATGTAGATGTAGATTAAATAATAAATTCCGAGTTGTTGTTAGATCTAAATAGTCTAACTATACTGAACAATATTATACGAGAGATCTGACCTCGTATAAGAGCGGAAGCGTAGCCGTGTTGAGTTGTGTTGATCTCCAGCCACCGTTGATGTTCCGTTAGCCATTATTTGCCTTATACTCGACTCAGAACCCTAGATGGTGATTGGTGTCTAATGAGCAGTACAGTAACTGAATGTGCTGTCTAATCCATAAACATGTATCCCATCAATCCAGGTTTATATTAGGCACATAGTCTGATTAACTAACAACTATTAATTATTAAGTCTAACCAGACCACTTAATAAGCCTAGTCAACTTACACCACTTAATTAAGGCTCTAATATATAATATATAATATATATTATTAGGAAAAATCTTACAATTGCACCAAGAAGACTATAACCATATGGTGGTAAAAGTAAATTCCATCTTTCTTTTTTTTTTTTCTTTTTTTTTTTTTTTTGAAAACAAAGTTTCATAAATTGAATTTGAACTTAAACCATCATATTCATTAACATATGTACCAAAATTGATATTGCATAGAGTACTAGACTTTAAATTAGTTCAACATGTCAAATTCAACAATATGATTAATTTGTTTTAAAAAAATATTGATTAATTTAGCCCAAATTTTGTGAGCATGTTGCGTGCGCATCAAGTGCAATATTAACCGTCATTAATGATTACATGTGAATCTATCGTTATAATAATAGAATAAGTAATTCATTATCTTGGAACTCTTGACTTGTTGATGGATGTGAGAATTCGAATGCAAATAAACATGTCTTTAAAGGTCCAATTCAACAATATTAACAAATCTAGCCTAACACCCCTAGAAAGACGTTATATTTTTGGAGCTCTTCGCTTAATGATTGATGTATTGCACATTCTAAGGGAGTTTTAGTTTAAATTGTAAGTATGTACAAGTCCAATTCAACAATATTGATATATCTAACCCAAGTAGCTCAAGATCTAGAAGCCCAAATTTATTGAACATGCACATCATATGCACAAAATGCTAATAATGCTCACAAGTAATTTTTTTTGTCACAACACAACATGCAATGTGTTATCTCACTGCTCTTAATTTATTAATGTAATATTACATATTGGGGAAGCTCTAGTTTAAATAATAGGCTTTTACCTATTCAATCTAGCAATATTCGAATATCTAGTCCAAATAGTAGCTAAAAAAAAAAAAAAAACTCAATTTTGTTGAGCATATGCATCATAGTATTAAATGCATCAATGCTCACACATGGATCAACCATCACAACTCACAACAGACTAAGCATTATCTTGAAGCTCTTGGATGGCTTTATGGTTGATGCAATCTCTCATTCTATGGGAGCTCTAATGTAAATAATAAGTTTTTACATGTCCAATACAACAATATTGACAAATTTAGTCCAAATAATAACTTAAGACCAATAAGTCTTTTTTTTTAAAAAAAAAAAAAAAAAAGCGTGCAAACCATATACAATATTGATCAATCTAGTCCAAATAATAGTTCCAAACACAAAAAGCCCAAAATTTTATGAGCATGTGCATAAAAAATAATACTAAATGACATTAATGCTCACACATTGGTTCATTGTTACAAACACAATATGCAATGCAAGATGTTATACAATAGTTAATTTCTAAATGATTGATGTAACCTTGCATTTTGAGAGAGGATCGATAGTGCAAATAACAATTCTTATAAGTTCAATTTGACAATAGTGACATATATAGCCTAAATAATAGCTCAATAGGCATTGTGTTATCTTGGATTATTGATATAATTTCGCATTCTATGAGAAGTCTAATGTAATAAAATGACAAATCAAACTCAAACTGTACCTAAAAATTCGAAAGATCAAATTTATTGAGTATGTGAATCAAAAGTAATATTAAATGCCTTAACAATCGATGAAGACCCGGAAAAGTCCAATGCAAAGAATTGACAATATAATCTAAATTCTAGCTGAAAACACGGAAGACCAAATTTATTGGGCATGAAAATTAGAAGCAATATTAAATGCAGTAATAATCGTTGAAGACCCGGAAGATAAAATTTATTGAGTATACATATCAAAAGCAATATTAAATGTAAATAAAGCCGACATACACGTTGATCTGTTGTCACAACAGAATAGTCAATACGTTATCTTGGGAGCTTTTGATATAATTATTGATGTAATTTTGCGTTCCGAGAGAGCTTGAATGTAAATAATAAGTTTTTATAAGTCAAATTTGACAATAGTGACACATATAGCATAAATAATAACTCAATAATTAGATTTCCAAATTGATTGAGCATGCGTATTAGAAGCAATATTAAATACTATCAGTAGTACTCAAAAAAAAAATACTATTAATGCTCACATGTGGATCTTTTGTCATGAAACAATAGGCCTAGCACTCTTATCCCTTAAGAGAGGTCAGGAGTTCGAACCTCCTCTTGTATGGAAAAATCAATCTGGCCAGCATTTTGTCTCTAATTGGGCTGGTCCGATGCGAACGAGGATTAGCCTGAGTATAGTACGGGCTTAAAGGTGCCTCTTACAGTTAGAACCTGCTCAGGACACGTTGTGGTCTAACAAAAAAAAATGCATTGTGTTATCTTAGAAGATTGATATAATTTCGCATTCTATGGGAGATCTAGTGTAAATAGCAATGCTTTAAAGGTCCAATGCAACAAATTGACAGACCTAGCCCAAATTGTAGATGAAAACCCGGAAGACCAAATTTATTGATTATGTGAATCAGAAGAAATTTTAAACGCATTAACAATCGTTGAAAATCCAGAAATGTCCAATGCAACAAATTGACAGATTTATCCCAAACGGTAACTTAAAACCTGGAAGACCAAATTTATTGAGTTTGCAAATAAGAATCAATATTAAATGCATTAACAAATGCTGAAGACCCGGAAGACAATTTATCGAGTATGCGTATCAAAAACAATATTAAATACAAATAATACTCACACATGGATCTGCCGTCACAACACAATAGTCAATGCGTTATCTTGGAGCTTTTGACTTGATTATTGATGCAATTTTGCATTCCGACAGAATTTCAATGTAAATAAGAAGTTTTTACATTGTAATTGGATCATTGTTATTCTACTGCTATAGCTATTAACTAGTAATTGTCACGTGCGATGCACGGGCAATTATTAATTTAACAAATTTATCAATTAATTTTTTTTTTACATCTTTTAAATTAGTAAAGGAAATAATTATTGTGAAAACAAAATTTATCGAGTATGCATATCAAAAGCAATATTAAATGTAAATAATGCTCACACGTGGATCTGTTGTCACAACTAACAGAATAGTCAAAGCATTATCTTGGGAGCTTTTGACATGGTTATTGATTTAATTTTGCGTTCCGACAGAGCTTGAATGTAAATAATTAGTTTTTATAAGTCAAATTTGACAATAGTGACACATATAGCATGAATAATAACTCAATAATCACATGTGGATCTTTCGTCATGAAACAATAGATTGTGCACTCGTCTCTTAAGAGATGTTGGGAGTTTGAACCCCCTCTCGTATGAAAAAATCAATTTAGCCAACACTTTGCCCATAATTGGGCCAGTCCGGTGCAAACAGGAATTAGTCTGAGTGTGATAGGGACTTAAAGGTGCCTCCTACAGTTAGGGCCTGGTGTCACATTGTGTTATCTTAGAAGATTGATATAATTTCGCATTCTATGGGAGATCTAGTGTAAATAGCAAGTCTTTAAAGGTCCAATGCAACAAATTGACGGACCTAGCCCAAATTGTGGATGAAAACTAGAAAGACCAAATTTATTGATTACGTGAATTAAAAGCAATTTTAAATGCATTAACAATCGCTAAAGACCCGGAAAGTCCAATGCCCGCAACAAATTGACAGATCTAGCCCAAACTGTAACTTAAAACCTGGTTGACCAAATTTATTGAGTTTGCAAATAAGAATCAATATTAAATGCATTAAAAAATGCTGAAGACCCGGATGACAAAATTTATCGAGTATGCGTATCAAAAGTAATATTAAATACAAATAATACTCACGCGTGGATCTGCCATCACAACACAATAGTCAATGCGTTATCTTGGAGCTTTTGACTTGATTATTGATGTAATTTTGCATTCCGACATAACCTCAATGTAAATAATAAGTTTTTACATTGTAATTGGATCCAAATTCTGCAAGTTGTATTGTTATTCTAGTGCTATAGCTATTAATAATTGTACTTAGATATCAACTAAATACTTAGATTAATAAGAGCATGCACATCAGAGGAAAATATGGGGAGAATACACTATTTTCAAGAAATTTATAATGCTTTACATGAATAAGAAATAAAAAAAGAGAGAAATTTGGGGAGCAACTGCAAGGACCGAGTTAATAGCAGGATGGTGGGACTTAGCTGGAAAAACAACCAAACGTGACAGCCACAAGGCTGTCACGAGTGCACCCAGTGAGCGCGTGCACTGCACGCGCACGCTGGACACGTTAAGCCATGATTATTATATTATTATTATTTTTAATTTTGAATTCAGTTTTTACTTTTTTTTTCTCTCTCTCTCCCCTCACACATTATATATATATATATATATATATATATATATATATATATATATATATATATATATATATATATATACACTACCCCAAAGATAAATATGTGGTTTAAATATAATTAAATTTGAGATTGTTTTTTCACTATGTGGTTTAAATATAATATACTAGAATTTGGTAGGGAATAAATATTAGGGGTAATTGTTGAGCTGGAGCCATTATATTATATAATTATTAATAGAAGTTGGGAAGAATATAATTATTAATAGAGGAGAGTATTGGAGAATGCACGTAAATGTGTACACACTACACAGTGTAATTTGAGAGAAACGAGGAATCAAAGTAAAATATAACTTTATTTTCATGGTCATCGCCAGCATGGAAAATTCGAAATGCGATTAATTTCAACATTCCAATAATTAGATTACCAATGAAAATTTAAAAATCTATGTTCCCTTTTCAGTGATTTGTTCGTGAGTCAAAGAATTAATGTGCACAGACGTACACTTTTGGTGTGCACAGCAATAAATGCTTTTCTAATTTATTTATTTTTATATTATGGTTACTTGATGATTAATAGCAATAATATTGGGATTAAAGTAAAATCGTGCAATCAGATCTCTTTTATGCGTTGTATATTCCTGAGTGGATAATGATGAATTAAATTCAAAGACTTGTGATGAGGATATTCAGTAAAATTTAACAACTTTAATTTACGAGCATATATGACAATTAAGGTTGTTTTTCAATAATATGAAATTTTATAAATATTTCTTAATATTATATACTCGATTGCCGTTTATATTTGTTGGCAATCGTTTGAGTTCGTAAATAATACGAAGTATATATAGTATATTATTTATGTATTTATATGATATATTAATTTATTATTTATGGTATGTTGAGCAAAAAACACTAAAAAAAAAAAAAAAAAAAAAGTAGTAAGATTTGGTGGGGCAAGAATAAGAAAAATATATATATTGGGTGATAATTAATTGAAAGGTAATGAGTAAAAAAAAAAAAAGAAAGGGAAAGATGAGCGGTAGAAGCGTAAAAGGGAGTTGAATATGGAGGAAGAAATAGATCGAATAGAATCCTATTCTTTGGCCTTGGCAATTGGCATGACTCCCACACATTTATTCATCTAGAAACGGAGAAAAAGGGAAGCGGTCGACCTTTTCTTCTGTAGCAGTTACGTTGGAGAAGCCGGAATATAATAGAATTGTTTGTTTGTTTCCCCGCTTAATTGCTTCAACTCATATCCCCCACCCACCCTATCATCCATAGTCACAAAATCTGCATGGGTACCGTTCTGCAATACTTACCACCTTCCATACCCCATTATCAGTTACTACTTTTTTTTTTTTAATTAATTATTATTTCTATAATTTCATTTTTAAGCACAAATCTCATTCTCTCTATCTTAATTATTTTTCCTATTCCTTAAAATCACCCTACCCACCCCGGGCCCCAAACATTTATCTTCTTCCTCTCCTCTCCTCATATATAAACTGACCAACCCCTTTCAGGTTTATCCACCTCTCTTCCTTCTTGCGTTCTTTTTTCGCTCATTCTCTGAATATTTATAATAATCTTGGTCATGGCCATTCAGGCTGAGTGGTGTTCGGAGAATCCCGTGTTTCTGTCGTCCGACAATGCATGTGCTGCCGGACTTGATGCTTTTAGTCGGCTGTGTTTCCATCCTCCTCCGCCGCAACAACCACAACCACACCACCACCACCAGCAGCAGCAGGAGGTTCATTTCCTTGAGCAGAGAGTCAATCAGAATTTTGGAAATGTTATGGCTCCAATGCATCCCCAACAAGTCATGCCGGATTGGTTTCCCCTCAATCTTGTGACCGAGTTTGAGAGACAGAAACTGGATTTGGATCGCTTTATCTGTCTCCAGGTAAAAATAATCTATCTATGTTTTTCTGATTTTTAATTAGTTTTTCTCCATCCTCATATCATATCTCTTGCTCTGTGTATTTAATTAATTAATTTATTGGCGTGGGGAATGAATAATATAATTTATATATTTAATTTGTATGGTTATTATGAAACAGAATGAAAGGTTGAGATTTGGTGTTCAAGAACAGAGAAAGGAACAAGTGGGTTTGATCCTGAGAATGTATGAAGCAAAAATGCAAGTTTTACTGAAACACAAGGAGGGAGAGTTAAGGGTGGCGATGAAGAAGAGGTCTGAACTTGAAAACTTGGTGAAGAGGCTGGAGAGTGAGAAGCAGGCGTGGGAGCAGTTGGCTAAGGAGAAGGAAGCAATGGTGGCGTCCGTGAACAAGACGTTGGAACAGGTGAGAGTGTCTGCGGCGGAGGACGCAGAGTCGTGCTGTGTTCATGCTCATGACGACGACCATGATCAAGTACTGTTCTTCCTGGATCAAGGAAACGAGGGGGACCAATTGCAACCTCCTACTTCAAGTAATTTGGTGTGCAAAAGCTGTAATCTTCGGGGTTCGTGCATCGTCTTTCTGCCTTGCAGACACCTCTCTTCATGCAAACCTTGTGAGGCCTTCCTTCATTCATGCCCCATCTGTCGAATGCACAAGAAAACCACTATCCTACCCTTACTGTAGAATCAATTATTCGATCATCATATCCATAGATTATGATTCATATATATCTATGCTGCGGTTGCTAGCTAGCCTGGCTGCACAAGACTTAATTGTTAAATTTTAATTACAAATGACTAAATGAGGAGATTCTAATGGAGGAAATTTTATTTTATTACTGTTGTAATTGTTTTTAGGCCTTAGCTTTAATAAATCCCAGGAGGCCAGGCCGGCCGGGATAATTAAGGTGCAGAACCAATTAACGTGAACGTCTCTTCTCATCTATCTTTTTCATTTGCTTTATATACTGTTTGTTTCCCTTTTTAACTTGAATTGGTAGGGAAACTCATTCTTCTTGATTTGATTATTCGTATCATCGCTTGCATCACATATATATATTTAGTACACCGTACTCCCCCCACTGTTTTGAACCGTGAAGGAAAAGGTTGAATTGATAGAAATGTCAGCATACCATATACATACATACATACATATTATGTCAGTATCGATAGGCCTGTTTTCTTCTCCACCTTTTTCCCATAATATTTCATTATTTAATGTTGCATGTAGTCGTAGGTGTGAAACCACAAGTACAAGAAATTTGGGTGATTCAGAATAGGATTTTTGTGTGAGAAAAAAAAATGAAAAGTAAGGAGGTTTATCCAATAAAAATTGTGATAAAATTGAGTGAAGTGTATTCTAATCCCCAATTCAAATGGGACATAATGTCCTTTCTCCCGTGACTGCATCACAGGCTCTCGACGTAACGTTTTGACTTGTACAAAAAGAGGGCCTAAGAAATCAAAAGGCAGGATTCTTTCATCTTCATTTTTTTATTGTTATTATTCATTTTTTTTAAATGTAAACTAAACGTACGAACAAATTAATTAAAAATAATAAAAAGTAGAGGTTAAAGGTGCAGATGAGGGAGGGGCACGGGAATCTGGGATACTTTCTTCTTTGCATGGTTTGCTTTTTCAGATTTTGGATGATGATGACGTAAGATTAGGGGGAAAGTGTCCCCACTCATCTGTGTTGTCACTGTTGGGTATATTATATACACACACACACATATATATATATATGGTCATGTCATCGTAATCACAATTCACAACAAATGGCCGGCTTAGAGCCCTATCCTATGATGTTTGCCCTACTCCCAAGTACATACTCAGGCATCACTTTTTCTAGGCGGAATTGATCACATTGTTAACTTATAAATAAACACAAAATTTCATGATCTTTGATTTTCAACAAGAGTAATTTATAAGTCTTTCATTGAACCAATCAATTATAAATAATTTAAGTTGATTTATATCTTTTGACATTTTACAGACTATATTGCACTTCAACTTTTATCTTTATAATATTGCATATTATTATTAGTAGTGTATATGGATATCTTGTTCATTTTAAAATCTCAATGACTTTAGACAAATTATACTATAAACTATTGATGGATCCTTAGTAATAGTATTCAGTCGATGAGCCTAAACAATCAATTAGGTGAAATACTCGACCAATAACAAATTTTATTTTGGACCATGACTATAAAGTAAAACGACTTCGTATCATTTTAATAACACTTCAGTTTCATTTGACAATATTGCTTTGTTTTACTAGTTTCATTTTTTACAAACACTAATTTTATTATAGCAACAATAAAGTATCATTTTAATTATACTACAAGTTCATTTGACAATATACATTATTATATGAGCTCTATTTTTTTAATTTTATTTTCCACACACACCAATTTAATTATAGTGACGTTGAAGTATAATTTTAATTACACTTCATGTTCATTTAACAATATATGTTATTGTACGAATTATGTTTTTTGTTTTATTTTCTACACACACTAGTTTCTTTATAGCAACATTAAAGTATCATTTTAATTATACTACAGTTTCATTTGACATTATACGTTATTATATGCATAAACTCTGTTTTTTAGTTAATTTTTCACACACACTAATTTCATTTTACCAACAATAAAATATTATTTTAACTATACTATGGTTTCATTTGACAATCATATTGGACATGGTCCACATAACGATGTGTGGACTATGGTTCACTGTATAACAGCTGCTAGGCCAATCGACCAACCAGTGGTAGACCAAAGGGTTGCCAACAAGAAGAGATTTACAGGGGCGTCAAAAAGATATTTAGAAGATCCGCTACCAAATTCGCTACGGTTTTCCGTTTGCTGTTTTAGAAAATAGGTACCGCGTTTTAGGAAGAAAATCTAAGCTTAAATTAAGAAATTTTCATTTTCTAAATTAGTAAATTATGGGCGTCAAAAAGATATTTACTTTTTTTTACGATAGTATTGACCTGCCGGCCAGCTATATTGTAATCGTAAAATCAACAACTATAATTTACATTATATTGTAACTTATTGATAAATGTTTATTTTTACATATTAATTGATAAATGTATACGGTATAATTATTGATGACTTTAGGTTGAAGAGGCAAATTATTGTGTGGATCATGAATGCAATATACATTTTTAATATACTAAAAATACATTATTTGTGTACTGAATATATATTATTTGATAATATATAAAAAATTATGTATTTTTAAATAATGTACTTTTAGTATATAAAAATGTATATTTTTTTGTTATGGTTCACACCAATATGTAGACCATGGTCCATAGAATAATGATTGGGTTGAAGAATAGCCTTGAACAGACTAACAAGGCTTTGCGAATTTCTCAAACTTAGACTATGGTTACCCTTTAACGGCAATTTATATCGTTCACCACGGCGCACATAGAAATGTGTGTTCAAGCACAAAATGCGCTCGTTTCAATTGTTGATGTCACCCCGTCTGTCCAAACGGCCAAAATCTCATTATGTGTATTCAGTTAAAAGTTTCTGTGTATTGTGTTATGAGTTTCTGTGTATTCAGTTAAGAGTTTCTGTGTATTTAGTTAAGAGTTTCATTGTATTCAATAAAAAGTTTCTGTGTATTCAGTTAAGAGTTTCTGTGTATTATGTATGTGTGTTCAGTTATGAGTTTCTGTGTATTCGAAACAGAGAATTTTTTTTTTTTGAACAATGGACCAAAACGACGTTGTTTTAGGAAGCGTGGGGGGAACATTGCTATGTGCGCCCTGGTGCACGGTATAATGATTGCCCTTTAACGACGTGGTCCTTATCCTCCAATGTACAGGCCTTGATTGGTCGAAGGAGGCCCAGATCCGAGACTGGGTCATGGTGATAGGACAATTGTTATACCATGGACCAGGTTTCATATTGCATTATGAATTCTAATACAAAAATTATGTACTTAAAGTTAATAGTTTTTGTATATGTAAACAAATAACTTGATAATTGTTGACACATAATATGATAGCTACAGGTACAGAAACTATTAATTGCAGGTACATAATGTGTCAACTGTCAATTATAGATACAGAATTTGACTTGATAATTGCTAACACATAATATGATAGCTACAATCTATAAGTACAAAAATTATCAACTGTATGTACAAAATGTATCAACTATATTTACAAAATTTGAAAATTATTTTTGGATAAAGATCTACAATGTAAAGTAGATCATGGTCCATGGTATAGTTGCTGGTGATGGAGGCCTGGGCCACCACTCATTTAACAATCGTTGGACTTGTATGAATAATTGAATATTAGGGTAAATTGTACCATGAATCAGGGTTTATCTTATAGTATGAATTTTGATTCAAAAATCATTTTTAGCTTATGTGTATTTGCAATTAACATATTTTATATTTGCAGTTAACAATTTATGTATATGTGTCTGTAATATCATATTATGTGCTTTTATTTTATTTTTTTAAAGTACAAAAACTAGGGATGTCAAGTTGGGTCGAAACCCGCGGGCCAACTGGGACGAATTAGGATCTCGAAATTTTGGCTCATGAAAATGCGGACCTCTTGGGCTTCTCAAAATTTATATATATATATATATATATATATATATATATATATATATATATATATATATATATATATATATATATATATATATATATATATATATATATATATATATATATATATATATTGAATCCAGTGCACACCCCTTAGTTAGCCGATTCCGTGAGCCCTCCCCCTGGTCGTTCATTTCTTTTGATGAACGGCTCAGATGGGGTTCCTTTAAATGCCCACGTGCACTGATTGTTTATATAGGTAGGGGTGTTTTTGTACTTTCTCTGTGTCTTTTATTATTTCAACCCTTTAATTCCGCTGGTTACCTTGCGTGTGGCAATAGATTTATATATATAGGCTTCGGATCCAGTGAGGTCCCCTAGATAGATGAGATCATGAGATCTCATCTTATCCATTAATTAAATTTCAATGGATGGACCAGGACTATGTTGTCCAATGGTACCCGGGTTGGACTTCCACTTAGAAGGTTGTGAATTCGAGCCTCAGTGGAGGCGTTATTAGCTCTTTGTGTTTCAGTAGGTTGAGAAAGTATATGAACAGATACTACAATGTAATAGAGCTAGTAGCATTCAAAAAAAAAATTTTCAAATTTCAATGGATGGATGAGATTGAAAGTCAAATTCTAATTAAATAAGGCTAGATTTTAACTAGAAGGGTGAAAGAGTAAATATAATATGGTGTTTATTTTTGGTTATAATTAAAATACAATCTTTACCATAATATTAGGCATATCAATGGTAAGAATTAATTATATTTTGTGTTGAAAGATTCAAACATATTATCAGCGGTGTAATCTAAAATTACAGAGTTTGAGAATGGTGTCTAAAATCGTGGGTAAGTGCGTCTTTAATTTTAATTTAGGTAAATACTACGTAGGTTTGTGCATTGTTGTGTAACGGCGTGTGCAAATTCGCAGTCGATACGTTTTTTTTAGAGTAGGGTCTATGCATTTATGGTGATTGGCGTGTGTTTTTTTTTTAATTTTACTTTAGTTTTAAAAAATTTAGTATGTTCTTGTGTGTGCAATTGTGGTCAACGGAGTGTGCAATTTGCTAAACATATGAATCTCCATATGGTAAGGCGTGTGTGCAATTATGTGGTAATTATGTAATTATGCATACAACAATTTATGTTGGGATCTCCATCTTAGCAGTAAATCCCTTTGGTAAACATATGAATCTCCATCTTAGCAGTAAATCACTTTGGTAAACATATGAAATGGCATTTGCTAATCATGTTCCTCATATGCCTATGTTGTGATTAGGGTGTGTGCATTTATAGTGATTGGCGTGTGTTTTTTTTTTTTTAATTTTATTTTCCTTCTAAAAAATTTTG